CAAGAGTGAGATGAATTCACGGGTCAAGAGTTAAGTTTAGAGCCCTGGTCATTGATTAGAGATATATTGATTTAAAAAGGATCAGCATGGATGACAACTGAAGTGATTAAAGTGGATAAAGTCACCAAACCAGAAAGAATGGAAAATGATGTCAAGAGGTCCAGGTCTCTAAGGAACTTAAGGCAGCACCTATTTTCAGTGAGAGGCTCACTTAAGAGATCTGGAAAGGAGAGGCCAGAGTCATAAGAAAATTGAGAGATGGTCAAGTAATGGGAGCCCCAGGAAAAGAGTCTTGCAAGAAGGAAGGAGTGGATTGCAATGTCAAATGTGATCAAGCGGTTGCATAAAACGAGGTGGAGAAAAGCGCACACTGGACTCTAACTAGTACGTTATTATACACATTGGTGATGGTGGGTTGGTGGCGTTGGGGGACATAATCCAATTATAGGATCTTAAGTAATGATTGGTAAGTAAGTGTTAACAGTTTTTGAGAATTAACTCTAACTGGGAAGGAAGGAGCATTAGTGAGACACCTGGAGGGTGTTCGGAATTGACGGGATGATGGTTCTCTAAAGCTGCTGTGAGAACACCTAATATACTGTCTCTGATACCCATCCTATGTTCTTGTACGATTGCAGCTGTTAAATAACTTTACTTCTTAAGGACATTTTGAAGTGTTTGTGTAGTTTTTGTTACCTAAATGTTTTGGGTAAATTCTTTTTAAGTAATGGGAAGAAGAACACAATTTATAAAGTTGCTTTAACTGCCTTTACCCCCCCCCCCCAAAAAAAAGCATCTTATAAATTTACTCAATAAAAAACAAAATGTCGCCTTAGTTTGTTTTTCCCCCCTCACTGTCCAAAGAATTATGCTGCTCTTGGTTTCAGAACACTGGGGACTCTGAGTATTCTTTGACAGATGAAAAGGTAAAGATTTATGGCAAAGGAAAGCATTTCTGAAAAAGGTGCTCCACATTGCCTTTGTGTATGTGCATAAATTATAAACAGGGCTCAAGGGTGCAGTCACTATAATAGCTTTTTGCTCTTTTTTTTTTTTTTTTTTTAAAGAAAACAGAAAATGCTTACTTAGGGCTACTGCTTGTGTTTCTATTAATGAATCTTCTAAGCTTGAATGATTTTAAATAGGATATTTATACTCCTTCATTCTATTGGGCCAAGAATTTAGGAAAATATGTGTGATTAAAGTGTCTATAGGAATAAATTTATGCAGACATTAATTAAAATACTCTTAATAGTTGTAGCAGTAATAATATATTTCCTAACTAAAGGCTTTGATGAGGATTCACAATCAAGGGAAAACAGATACCAAATCATGTGTTTGTAAAACATTTCATTAGCCTTCATGTTCAAGTTTAATACTGATATTAAAGCATCTCTGAGCAGCTCTTTGCACAAGAGTTGTGATCATGACACACAACTACCTTTCCTCAGCCCAAATGAATGAACTCGGTGTTTTATTTTTTTTAACCATTTGATAAGTATTCATTGAAATCCAGTGTTTAACCAAGACTTATGGATTATGGCTTTATTTTATTTTTTGTTAATTTTCACCTGAAGATATTTTTCCATTAGTTTTTAATAGAGAGTGGAAGGGAGGGAGAGAGACAGGAAAAGAAACATGAGTGTGAGAGGGACACATCGATTAGTTGCCTCCTGCACATGCCTCAACCAGGACCAGGGATCAACCTGCAACCGAGGTATGTGCCCTTGACTGAAACTGAACCCAGCATCCTTCAGTTGATGTTCTATCCACTAAGCCAAACCAACTAGGACCAGACTGTGACTTTAAAGTAATAATACTATTTTGCATAATAGATTAGGAAAGTCTTATACTCTGAATACAATGTCAAGGTTATCAGTATCATTTTACTTTTAGGTTTGGTTTTTCATTCCTAGAAATATTTTTAGGTTAATTCATTAGCAAATCTACATTATTTAATAAGACCTTAAAAATATTTTTTCATCCTTTGAATTTGAAAGTGTTTACCCATCATCACCTTCATGTCAGTTTGGTTCCTTAATCACCAGACCAAGCTAATATTAAGGTTGGCTGTTCATACTTCATGATGATAGTTTATGTTTGCACTGGGAGTATTATGAAGGTTGTTCACTTCTGGTGAGGTTTACTAGTTCTGGAGATTCCTATAAAAACATGCTACTTGCATAATACCGTGTTTTTCCAAAAATAAGACATCCTCCAAAAATAAGACCTAGCGCATGGAAAGATAAAACATCCCCTGAAAATAAGAACTAGCACAACTTTGGGAGAAAAAGTTAATATAAGACACTGTCTTATTTTCAGGGAAACAGGGTAATATATTTAAAAATGTATCCCATTAACATCATGTGTTTTGTTTTTGTTTTTAACTATGATGACCTATTAAAAATGTATTTACCTCATTGAACAAGAACTGATCTTTTAAAGAGTGTCAGGAACATTTAATTCTGTGAGTATGCCAAAAAAAAATCACAAAGGGAATATTATCATTACTCTCTGAAAGTCACAGGTAACATAGGACCTGATGAGAGTAAGCTTTAGTTAGTGAATAATGAGGATTTGTTGCCTACACTGAAGTTTTTTCCAGAAATTTCTATATCAAACATTTGTCTTCCTTTCTATTTGAAGTGTTAACTGTATTGAACCAATCCATTTTGAGAATTACCAGCAATATTCTTTTCAGCTTCATATGCAACTTTAGAATATATTTCCTCTCTTCATTATGTGTGTGTGTGTGTGTGTGTGTGTGTGTGTGTGTGTGTGTGTGTTTATTTTTATTGACTTTACTGGGGTAACATTGGTTAATAAAATTATATGTGTTTCAGGTGTACAGTTCTATAATCCATAATTTCTGTATTTCTAAAGTTGCTCTTGGGAAAAGAGATCTCCAGTATATTGAATACATGTGTGATGAATTGAACTGTAATGCAGAGCTTGAAATGTGGTAAATACTGAACTGCCTCTCTTCCTAACTAATGAGACTGGAAATCCTATGAAGCCCTCATGTGTGCAGAGTGTGAAGTTGGAAACTTGCTGACTAGAAGAAACTAGCAGAAGACTCATTTTTCCTCTTTGAGAACAATAGTTACCCAATTCTGGTCCCTGTGATGCTTTTTCTGATCCAGTTGAAATAAGATAAATTAAGACAGTGATACTGAATTGTTTTTGGAAAGTTGACCATTCTCTCTAAACTTTTTTTTTTCAAACAATGTTTCATTTTATGAAATTTAAATTACCATTATGAAATATAGAAAATATAAGCATTCTATACATTAGTTCTTTTTTTCCTACCTGAAAAAAAAAATAGAAAAGTTAGCAGACTTGTGTTAGTCCCCTTCTGAGTGAAACTGGCTGGTTGGAAAACTGGAGCAGATATTTAGATGGGCTGAACTTAGGGTAAAAGAGGAGGGGCGGTGGGTAAATAGGCCAGGACAAAGGCGCTAACGAAGAAAGGACAGCCTATACCTGGTTTGGCTCGGTGGATGGAGCATGGGCCTGTGGACTGAAAGGTTTGGGCTTCAATTCCAGTCAAGGGCACGTGCCTGGGTTAGAGAGGGGGGGGGGGGGGGCGCATACAGAAGGCAGCCTCATCAATGATTCTATCTCATCATTGATATTTCTAGCTCTCCCTCCGCCTTCTTCTCTGAAATCAATAGAAATATATTTATTTTTTTAAAAAGAAGAAGAAAGGACAGTGTTCTAGAAAAAGTAGATTTTTAAAAATAGGAATTGGGATATTATTCATTGGAAAGCATTGAGGTTAAATTTATTTCTTTGTTCATTTAGCCATTATCCTTGACACTGTGTTGAGGGCTTTAAGGCTGAATTCTAAGGATCCCCTGTGCTCTTGTCACACACACACTGTTATCAGGAGAGTCGTGGATGGAAACACTGAAGATTTGTTTGGATGATAGATGTTAGGTTTTTCTCAGTTCTTGAGGAATTGGTCATCTCTCGTCATCTCTCTAAACCTCAATTTTTATATGTAAAATGTACATAAAAATAAGTAAGTAAGGTAAAAGGAAATGTCTTCAGAGTTTTACTAGAGCTTGTAAATTAATTAAAGATTATAATTTTAATATGTGTGTATATAGGGGATGGTAGTGGATTCTAGAAAGTAAGGAAGTGAAGTTCTAAAAAAAATTTTTTTTAAGATTTATCTTTTCAGATTTCTGTTTTCCAAGTTTATTATCTGGGTTTTATTTATTAGGAGAATGTGAACTATTTTTTTATTTATTTATTTTACATATTTTATTGATTTTTTTTTTTGCCCCCCTCCTTCCCTCCCACGTATCCCCTCCCTCCCCAGAGTTTTATGTCCATTGGTTGTACTTATATGCATGTATACAAGTCCTTGGGTTGATTTATTGTCTCCCCCAGACCCTCCTCCACTCCCCGTTGTAATTTGTCAATCTGCTTGTTGCTTTACAGGAGAATGTGAACTATTTTTTGATGTACATGTTTTACTTTTCTTATTCTTTTTGGATCCCAAACCAACTATCAGTTTTCAAATTTTATACAACATATTATAAACTCACACCTTCAGCAGGTAAACTAAGCACTTATTTAATTTAACCATTTGTGTCCAGGACAGGTGCCACCAACTCTACCTTAAAGGACCAGCACAGCACCCTGCACTTGAGTGGAGAGGGTTTGCTAAATAACTCTGTTAAATCTGACCCTGTCTCACTTTTAAGGACATTTGGAGAAAAACCATTCTCCATTCTCTTTGATAATTACTAGATTTTTATTTTATTTTTTGTGTTAACACCTATTCAGAAAGCTTTCCTTTTAGCTTGTCCGTAAATATCTCATGCTGTATAGTTTAGCACCCTTCTGTATTTTTATTTCCAGGTGTTTTTTTCTTCTTTTTTTTGTTTAATTCAAGCAAATGAAACAAGTCACCTTTTTGTAAGAGTTGTGCAATTTCCTTTCTGTGATAATTAGCTTTTTTTAGTAACTTATTTTTTTGGTTCATTTAGCAGCAGCAACAGAAGAACCAGAAGTGATTCCAGACCCAGCAAAGCAAACAGACAGAGTGGTGAAAATAGCAGGAATTAGCGCTGGAATTTTGGTGTTCATCCTCCTCCTCCTAGTTGTCGTATTAATCGTAAAAAAGAGGTAAGGCCTCCTTTTATTCTGTCCCACTCACTTATTTATGTCACGAGATTTCAAATATTTTTTGTTTCCTTGACCTTCTTAAATTAGAGAACTGAATTTTGAAGAATTGCATTATAACCACGTCAACATGAGTCTATTTCTCATACTTCTAAAATAAATTTGTATTGGCTCTTTGCAGTTTAATTTCAGATATAAATATCTACTTTTTGTCACATTAACATTGATATTAATGTATGAGTTAAAATTTCTCAAATGCAAAGATACTTGAGATGTTAATTTATCTTGTACTTCTAGTGTTATTTATTAAGAATGATGATATAAGGATTTATCATAATGCTTGGGGTATGGTCTATGAATTATTTTGTACGCTATTTTTCTACATATTGGCTATAAATAAGGTATGAGAAGAATATAAACATTATTTGTGAAGTTGTGTATTAAATATTCACTGACTATTTGAGCACTTTAATATGAAAAGTCAAGTTTTTAAAAATTGATCATTAGTCTTTTATAGTTATCAACTAATATCTTCTGGAATTATATAAAGATGTTAGGACCCACTAGAATTTAAAATGAACTCTAGTCTGTAGATTAAAGTCTACTCCTGCTGAAAAACATTTCAAAGTGTATAGTTTTAATAACTTGAACTTTTTTTCATTTTATTATATGTCATTTGTCAGACATCGTCTCAGAAACTAATGCAAATCCACAATTCTTCAAATCATATGTCTTAGATAATTCTACCATTGGGAAAACTTTAAAAACATCTTAATATGCAGAATATGGCCCTAAAATAGTGTTGTATATAAAAGTGGTTGTAATTTATAAATTATATTAAGTAATATAATAAGTGATGTTGATAATGTAAGTCATATACTATTCTATGATGATTAGTATTTTGTACTCAAAATAGATCATTACCAATATAGATATGATTCATACTACATGTTTAATAATTCCATCAGAGTTTATTTTAATGTATTGCCTCTTTACAATTATCCCCTGGAGATATATATGTTGGAGAAGACACATCTGCATTAGAAACATTAGGTATGCATTATAGTGTTTTGTGTTAAATTAGCTACATACGTGCTTTCCCCAAGAGTGCTTTCTCTTTTTGCTGTTGTCTACCTATGTGGTTGGAAAATACATCATATTTGAGTCAGAAAGATTTAAGTATTTTAGTAATACAAATTGGCCAGTTAAGATCAATACAATTTTTGAATATATAACCTCCAGATCATATGTCTTTAGGGTAAATTTATATGTGGAGGGTTAACTACACTAAATAGTTTAGAGAGTTAATTCAACTTTTCTTCTCAATTAAAATTATTCCAGTCACTTCAGATTGGACATGGGAGCAAGAAAATAGCTTCTGATTATGTCCTCACTTAGTTAAAATTGGGTGAAATCAGTTTTATTTGTTATTAGGGTCTTTCTTATTCACGGCCTTCTATGTAGAAATAACAAAATCATTTGAAACATAAATCTTAAAAAGTATGCCAAAACAATCTTGAAGCATGATTGGGGGAGAGGGGTATTATGCTCTGACAACTCTCTAAAATTGCATAATGTAGCAAATTCTTTGCTGGTTCATATTTTAAATGGTTAGATACATGGGCCTCAAGCAAAATGTTTAATGTTAGAGTTTTCACAGTTGTACTTTAATTGATTGCTTTTTGGTAGAGAATATGCTAGGGCTTCCTCATCACCTTCATGATTGGTAAATTTTATAATTTTATACACAAAGTTATATACTTAAATTTGTTACCTTCCAATATATAACATTATAACTAAATTTCTTGAATCTCTTACTTATCCAAACAACTTTGTAGTGACTTTTACTCATATTTTGTGTCACACATGTATCCTGTATGATTTAATTAAAACTATGTTTATTATGATAATACATACACAAAATCCTAGATATTATAACAATATTGGATAGTATCAATTTTAGGGAAACAATATTTTAATATATTACATAGGTACCCATATAATACACAAATTTATAGTAAATATAATGAAAAGGCAAATCATTTTAGCCTTTAATGATCTTTATTTTTATAAGAAATGATTAGGTTTCTCAAGATTTTATCCCTCACTGGGAATAATAACATATATAGATATACTTCTCATGTTGAAAATGTTCTGTGTACTTTTGGTTGTGTGAAGAAATGGTTTGGAATTCAATTTAGTGAAATTCTATAGCTAAGAGTATACATGAAGTAAGTTTTTAGGCTAAGAAAAGGGATATTGCATCTTTCAAAACGCAATGCCATTTTTTTAATTTAATTGCTGTTAATTATTTCCAAATGTATGCCATTATTTCATTGGTTATGTATTATATTTTAAATGCATAGCATGGATGCTTTAATAATTCTAAAAATAAATGTGAAATTATGTTTCAATACAGTAAATGTTTGTGTATGATATCATCTTCACATACATCTACTGTAGACATATTTTTGTGTATATTATAGTGTTTGGTGCATATGTATATTCACTTAATATATGTATGTACCTGTGTACCACTAAGATATAATGACTTATTTATAAAATTTTAGGTATCATTCTGCATATATCCTATATTAATCTAATAGATCTATATATTTTGTATCTAAAGAATAATAATCAATTCAGTGTACAAGTTCTATAACAGCTGTTCCATCTTTCATGACATTTAGATGGTAATGGAGGATGTGCTTAACTGCATGTTGAAGATACACAATCCATTTAAGTTTTCAAATTTTTTTGGCTATAAAAGAAATGTCAGCATGCTATTTTTCCCCAAATTATATATTTTACATTTTATTTTTCTATTGCATATCTGTCTAATTGCATGGCAAAAGATATCTAACCAGTGCATGAGCAAATTGAAATGCAAATAAAAAAAACATGAATTTTATTTTATTTCATTTTATTTTTAACGCACATTTTTCTGCTTTATTGAATGTGACAGAGTCACGCTTTTCATTCACCATTGCTTCTCTTTTTCCACTGTCTGTGATTTGCTTGCCAGGAGGAGCTACTATTCTTACTCCTACTACCTGTAAGTAGAAAATGGGTGATATACGACTTTACGTGTGTTAAAGATGCAGTATCCCTTTTTGAAAACAAAAACAAAAAAACAGGATGTTTGCAATTTTGGTGACATTTCAAAAAATGTTTTTCTGGACTCTAAAATTATAAAGCTTACCTATTAACTTATTTTGTTAATCTTTTTAAAAAGGGATATTGTATTTCTGTATGTCCAGCCACATTTAATTTAAATTTTCAGTTTTCCATAAGCAGCTTTAGTCTACAGCCTAAAACATCACTTATTTACTTAAGTCAAACCTGTACCTTGTCAATATGAGCCCTCACTCATCTGGCAGTGATAGTGTTTGTAACTCACCAATCCCTATCTTTATGTAACACTGTTCTATTTGACAAAATGACCCAGGTGATGGATTCATAAAACAATCAAAAGTGGCTTCCCAGGATGCAAATCACATCAGGACAGATAGTGAAAACATCTGTCTCCACATTTCCAGGAATCCATGATGGGTTATGACTTCCAAATGAACACCTTTGGTCTGGCCGTCTAAGCTGTCCATTTAGTCTTGCAAAAATAAATGCTGTAGTGAGAAATAAATAAAAAACAATTCAGAGAAAAAACATTATTGTTTATTTTTAAAATAAGATTATTATTTTTTTAAAACAAGACCATGGTGAGGGAAAGTCCCTTCCACCTACACAAATCTTCTTTTCTCTCCCAAAGTCTTAGTTCATCCTATAATTAGGTATGGAATGATAGTTTGGATAAGGATGGAGAGTATTATATATATAATATATAGTGTCATAACTCAATCTTTCTAGTCATTCTCAGTTTGCTACCTTAGATGCCAGGATATACAGCCAATCCAAAGGAATGATACAACCAAGTGTTCATGGACATTGCTTGATCCCTATTTGGTCTGCCACTTTTCGGCTCAAGGACTGTGATTCTGCATGTCTGAGGGCATGTATCCCCCACTATTTATTTCATTAGATAAATTTAATCTAGCTTAGCAACAAAACTTGTTGAGTCTCAATGACTATAACAGAATTTCACCAACCTTTTAAAATATTATAAATGTTTGGCTTCTTAAAATCTGCTACACAAGCAGGTGTAAACTAATAATGCTCCTAGCTTATTCTGAGGGGTCATAATATCCTTGTTAAATCATGTTGGATGAAGCCAAAGGTAATTAACTGTACCGTTTCACACAATGATGGAGCACTTTCCCTCTTTATAGCCCACTCATATATCCACCTGCAGGAATGTATGCTGCTGGATGCTTTAATGATGAAAGTCGTTTGCACATCTGTCAAACTCAAGCAGCTGCAGAACAGTTCAAATGCCCTGAAGTGCACATTTTATATACTTGTTGCTCAGAGGAGACAAAGCACCAAGAGGACAGAAATCAATAAGTATTTAATTATGAGAATGCCAATAAAGCTTCCCCTTAACTATCTATATATTGATAGTGTTAGAATGGGATTGTCTTTTTAGTGGATGGATAATATCCCAGGATTCTACACTTGGTAGTAGATCATAATACTGATATTGTAATATGTGTGGCTATTGACATTATTAATCATAATTAGAAAGAATGTCACAGAGATATGCTTTTAAAAGCTGCTCAAATATAACTTTTTAAAGATTTTTAAAGATAAAAGTAGAAATAAATTGATTGTAATTTAAAAGTTAACCAGATGCAATCTTTGAGCTAACATTCATTGACATCATCATAAGAGAGCTCAGTTCTTGATCAAAACACCTAACTCTGATGTTTATATTTGCTTATAATTACCTGAATTAAAGCCTACATCCCAGAGATGTTGTGCGAATTAAGATATTAGAACCAAACTGATAATGCTTGGCTGGCATATACTAACAAAGGTTATAGTCCCCTGCAATTTGACAACTAGCAAAGGTTTGTGACTCTGAAAAATAAAGATCCTTCATAGCTATGAAAACTTTTACCTGCCATGAATTTGACAAATTCATTGCTTCATATTTTTTCTTAATCATGACACATATAAATTATATATTTTAAAGTAAAGCCTCAAAGTCCAAACATGCCTTTTATATTTGCTTTGAACTGCCCATATTCAAAATTTTAACTTTTTAACTCATATCCCACGTTGTGTTACATTTATCCAATTCAATCTCTTAAATTTTTGGAGGAACAAATTTACTATTCTTGCCCGGCAAAGACTGGAAGTTGTTTTTTAAACTATCTTTTTTTTTTTTTTTTTTTTTTTTTTTTTTTTTTTTTTTTGCTATTTCAAACGTTTCAAATGGCAAAACATTGTGCTGCATTCCCATTGTAACAATGTTTCACTCCTAGAGTGAGAAGATGCTTTACATTATAGTATACACTTGTAATATATCGTTTAATGATGTCAGCAACTGGAGATAAGAAATCAGGTTATTTTTCACTGCTTATTAGATAAACAACCTTGGGCAAGTTACTTAACTTGTCTGAGCCTCAATAAACTCATCTCTACAGTCAGAACTCTCATGCCTTTTTCAGTGGGTTGATCTGAGAACTAACTGAATTAGCAAGTGGAAAGTGTGAAGCATATCACAGGCCTGTTCATCCATTCAACAAGTATTGTATTGGAGTGCCTGCTATGTGCCAGGCACTGTCCTAAGTGCTGGGAATATACAGGTGGCTCTTCCCTGTATGGAACACACAGTGGGGAAAAGAATTACTAGGACATTTGCAATGATATGTGATGAGTGTTATTAGAGGCAGAAAACGTGGTGCTAGAAACTCACCCAGCAGGGAAACCTAACCTGAAACAGGTTGCTGGAATTAGAGAAGCCTGCCTGTTGAGGTGAGACATAATGCAAGTTAACCAGAAATTAGAGGTACAAAAACCTTGTGGGTCAATGAACAAATATCCTACATCACATCAAAGAGGTAAGTTCGGAAAGAGAAGTCTGTAGACCAAAATATGATCTGCTAATGTTTAACTTGCTTCCTACACTCTTTCAAACAATAAAAGCTCTTGAAAAACATCAGGAAACTTAGTATGAATATTCAGATTCATTATTTCTCTTTAAATGTCATTTAAAAGTCAGAAGCTTAACCCTTCTGGGATCAGATGCCAGTGGTCACCTAGATAAATTGCCCCTAAGCTAACGTGACCAGACGTCCCGCTTTTGACGGGACAGTCCCGATTTTTAACCATTTGTCCTGAGTCCCGCAGCATTTTTTTTTTTAAGTCCTTTTTTAAAATGCCCCGGGACAAATTGTAAAAAAGCCAGGTGTCTGGTCACCTTACCCTAAACTCCTCTCCATGTCCCCGCAATCCCCACACTTCAGGGCGTGTGGTCCCACTGCAGCAGCTTCATTCACAGTTCCTGTCTGAAACCTGTAAGGCTATCATGGGGATTTTTACTGCCTCGCCTAGAAATAAAGAGATAATGACTTTTCAATGAATAGAACAAATATTGCTAATAATGGTGGTGGTGTGGTGAGGATGGTGGTGGTAGTGGTTGTGATGGTGTAGTTAGTGGTAGTAATGCTGTTGGTGATGGTGCTAGTTCTTATTATATTTTCATCATTGTTTTCTTACTACTAGTACTGTCATTATCGTTGTTATTATTATTATTATTATTATTATTATTTTAAAAAGTGCTCCTTCATTCCCTAAAGCTTAGTTTCCGACTGTCTTATTTAGGTGTCAGATCTGCTGTGTTCAAATGTTGGGTAAAAACTCCCTGAGGTTAAGTATTATAATTCTCTGCGCGGGAGGTGGAAGAGGTGGAATTCTATTCAGGAGTAGCTCTTGAATTGCTAGGTTGAATTTTGAAAGGAAACGCTTTGGGGCATAAATGCAACTATGATATGAGCCTTTAAAGAAAGTGTTTGTAGATACTAATGAGAATCAGAAGAATATATCCTAGCTAATAATCTAGCTGAGAAGTGGTATTCTTAAAACAACTAAAGAATATTTCAGAGAGGACATAAGCTGCTGCCATAAATTTAGAAACATAATCTGGCTACTGCAGGCTTTGAGAGTGCCTTTATTTATATCATCTAAGTCGCCTTGTTAATGTGATGTAAACGTTTTATATACCCTTAATGTTTTTATTACATATTTCTTGTGTAACAGTCACAAAGAATCATAAGGTATTTCATATCTTTGTTATTACAATAAAGATTTCAGTGTTTGAGTAGCTGAAAAATCTAACTCTTCTATTTTCCAAGTCATTTGTCTCGCTGACTTTATAAGGCATTTCTATGGTGGATACTCTGCCATGTGATTCTAAAACAAGCTTTTAGGATTTGACTGTGTCTGTAATTCAAGATTATAATCATTTGTGTAATGCATCTAGTACTTTTTCATATGGTATATAACTTTTTCATATTTTCCTGTGTATTTGCATTATATTTAGCTATGGTTGATTTGACAAGCCTCCAGATTAGTTTGGGTTAATGTTATAAATAAATTGATAAATATGTTAATGCTACACATGTTGCATTTTGCGGAATAATAAAACAGAGAATGAAGAATGGAATTGCTTTGTTTATTTTAATTGCATGAGTATAACAAAATAAACTTTAAAAAGTAGTCATGTGATTTCTCGGAAGAACTTCTAAAAGTTGACAAAAGAATTAATCACCCAAGAAGAAAGCCAAAATTTAGCTTTAGCTTACATTTTTCTTGAATAGCTCTAATAAGGAAATGTTCACATATGGTTGTTATAAAGTGTAGTTATATTTTATAATACTTCATTTTAATGATAAAATATAAGAAATAAGAGGTTTGGGTTGACAGCTTGAATGTTGAAACACCCACATGGCAAATATACTAGTTCCAGAGCAACCAAAATGCATTGTTTGAGTGTGGAACTTAATTCCAGAAATTATGGCCTAAGTTATTTGTAAACCACATCTATATCCTTATCCTGGGGCTTTTCTGAACTACATACTGCTGGTGTCAACTCTCCTTCAAGCTTCACACTGAGGTTTCCCTCTTGTATTTGCCTTGGCAGCAAGCTCGCTAAGAAGCGCAAGGATGCTATGGGGAACACCCGGCAGGAGATGACTCACATGGTGAATGCTATGGACCGAAGCTATGCAGATCAGAGCACTCTGCATGCGGAAGATCCTCTTTCCATCACCTTCATGGACCAACATAATTTTAGTCCAAGATGTAAGTTCTTTAAATTTTTCATAAATGATTTTTAAAGCTGTTTTTTAGTGCACTCTTGCAGTCAGTATTAAAATTTTCATAAATGATTTTTGAAGCTGTCTAATTCACTCTGCAGTCAACACATTGTCTTTTGAATAGCGAGAGAAAATAAGGAAAAGAAATGGGAGAAACAGCTGGGAAGAGAAAAAAGCGATAGAGAATATTATGGAATTCATAAGAACTTATTTTCAGTCTTGATAGTAGATTCACTTTAATGTCAAACTGCATGAATTTTATTACTATATCACCATAAGCTATATTCATATATACCACTCAGACCAAATCATATGTCATTGCTTTAATATACTTGATTGCCTATGTAAAATGAGTTTATGTCAGATTTATAGTTATTTTTCCATTTGAGTCTTCCTTTGTGCAAGATAAAATTCTTTTGAGATAAGAAAGAATATCTGCAGATTTTTGGCATTGGTAAAAATTATTCTATTAAAATATTCTATATACCCCTGGAGAATTTTAGTAATAAAAAGTTAACTGAGCCCAGCTGACGTGGCTCAGTGGTTGAGCATCAACCCATGAACCAGAAGGTCATGGTTTGATTCCCAGTCAGGGCACATGCCTGGGTTGTGGGCTTGATCCCTGCTGGGAGGATGTGCAGGAGGTAGTCGATTGATAATTCTCTCTCATCACTGATGTTTCTGTCTCTCTCTGCTTTCTCCCTTCCTCTCTGAAATTAATAATAATATATATATATATATATATATATATATATATATATATATATATGAGGTTAGCTGGGGGAAAGAGAAATATACATGTTCTTCAGTATCTGCTGTGAAGTTCAAAAGTTTACTTGAATAGGGGTTTGGCAGTGAATGGTGAAACCTATTCAGCCATTCATCTACCACCTTATCCACCCATCCATGTTAAGAATTCCTAATGTTGATCTATGAAGGCTGGACTTTTAAGATATTTCCACTGAAGTGCTGTTTAATGACAAATGATTTGAAGAATTGCCTTATAATTAATGAATATTAGTTTATCTTCAAATTTCCAATAATTTTTTCTATAGCACTCTTTGTTACAGAAAACTAAGTTAAACTATTTAACTGTTTCTTTAAATCCTCAAGTAAATTGATGCTTGCGGAAGGAAAATCATGTTTATCCTAAGTCTTGTATATGCAGGTGCATTCTTCCACAGATCCCAGAGGTTTGTTTACCTCAGTGGAAAAACATGTGTATAAGGGGAAAATAGACAATAAAATTACTATTTCTTATACATATTATAAGCATATGTTGTGGTAAGGTAGAGAAAATAAAGTGTTTGTAGGTTGTATGCATTTAGGTTTTTCCAGAAAGGGATGTATTTTTTTCTGTAATGTTCACCTTGGTGATAATTTTCAGACATTATTAGCCCTGAATACAACCCATCATGTCCCTTGATATGTATCTAACCAAACAAATTAGAAATGCTGTAGTCATTGGGAATTTAATTTTAATCAAGATAGGGCCTTTCTTATCTATTTTATCTTTATTTCACTATAAGATAAATGACAGAGAAGAATGTAAAATATTGTTGTAAGTAAATTTTTCTGAAAATGTAGATTTACCATCTCTCTAACTACTTGATTTAATAGTTAACCCTTTAAGAATTTGAAAGTATTTTTGTTCCCCAACTTTTCTATTTTTTGCCTATCTTATTAGGAAGCTTGAATTCAGGAGTGTAACTATTAATATATTATGAACTTGGAAGTATGATTAAATATATTCCCACAGTTAACTAAAAAAAAAAAATTAAAAAAAATTCTTGAATGAACTTGACATAACTAGAGGCCTGGTGCATGAAATTCATGCATGGGGGGTGGGAGGAGTGTGTCCCTCAGCCCAGCCTGCACCCTCTCCAATCTGGGACCCCTCAAGGAATGTCTGACTGCCCAGTGGGATTAGGCCTACATGGGCAGTTGGACATCCCTCTCACAATCCAGGACTGCTGGCTCCCAACCAGTCACCTGCCTGCCTGTCTGCCTGATTGCTCCTAACCACTTCTACCTGCCAGCCTGATCACCCCCTAACCACTCCCCTGCCAGCCTGATAGATGCCTGCTCTGCTGCTGGCCCGATTTCCCCTAGCTGCCCTCCCCTGCCAGCATGGTCACTCCTAACTGCCTTCCCCTGCCAGCCTGGTCACTCCTAACTGCCCTCCCCTGCAGGCCTAGTTTCCTCCAATTGCCCTCCCCTGCAGGCCTGGTTGCCCCTAATTGCCTTCCCCTGCTGGCCTGGTCTCCCCAAACTGCTCTCCCATACTGGCCTGTTTTCCCTCAACTGCCCTCCCCTGTAGGCTTGCCCCCCCCCCAACTGCCCTCCCCTGCAGACCTGGTTACCCCCAACTGCCCTTCCCTACAGGCCTAGTTTTCAAAACTGCACCCTCCCCCTACCCCTTCCCGTGCGCGTTTGCAGGCCTGAGTTCCCCCCAACCGTTCTCCCTTGCAGGCCTAGTCGCCCTCAACTGCCCTCCCTCTTGCTGGCCCAGTTACCCCTAACTGCCCTCCCCTGAGGCCTGATTGCCCACAACTGCCCTCCCCTGCTGGCCATCCTGCAATAGCCATCTTGTGTCCACATGGGGGTGGCCATCTTGTGTGTTGGAGTGATGGTCAATTTGCATATTACTCTTTTATTAAATAGGATTATTTCTTCAAGTACCCTGCACTTGCTAAATCTAAAATACATGGGATCCTGCTCCCCCACGCCATTTTAGAAACTTTATAATGTCAAGTTGAATATTCCTTGCTTTTTAAATTAAACTGAGTACTGAACTATAATTATAGATGCACCTTTCTCTCTTGATGTTTTGCAATAACCCAACTGAAAGAGAATTTTACTTTTTCGGGTTATAGTAACCAAAGAAAGTTTAATAATGATACTTCTTAAGAGAACATAATTCTATTTTAAAGGGAACAACTTTAGGGCAACATGTTCCTTCATGAGCTTTGTTTTCCTATACAGTGCCCAATGATCCACTTGTGCCGACCGCTGTGTTAGGTGAGGCCCTAATTCTTTATCATCATTTCTGCATGGATCACACCTCCTTGCATGGTTATAACTTTGTCAGCAGAGTAATTATTCCCAGTGCAGAAAGCAACTTGATTTAAAATATATAGCTATCACCTTATCAAAGAGAACAACTGTGATAAATCCCGTCAGATCTAGTAGATTTCAAATTAGTAAGGTGTGCTTTTCTAAAGCAATGTATTCACTAATTTTTGGTTCCATTAGATTTGCAGCAAAAGTACCGTGGTGCTTACTATAGGACTTATGTTTATTTATGCAGGTTAGTAGAATGAACCAAAATGCACAGGGACCAGTGCTACCAGAATACTTTTTATATATGTAAAAATATATCTGATGGGAAGCGATTTTCTAAATCCTCCTAATTTTATAATTATTATATAACATCTAAGACAATTGGTATTATGAGTGATAAATAAGTCCTTTTCAGATGTAAAATTACATTAATTTTTAATTTAATTACAGATTTAAAATAGAATGAGTTTCAATTCAATTTGTATTCTATTCCTTGACTGACTTCACACGAATGATTCATGACCATCTTGCTTATAATGTTCACAAGTTATATATCATTTTTAACCCAGTGTTTCTAATATTTAAGATTTACCCAAAGAAATGTAGAAATTACCAGAAAAATGTGTCTTAAACATTAGCAGATTTCTTATTTTATATTTAAATTTCTTGTGAACATAAAAGTTTAGCTCATATTTTATGCATGTTTTATTATGCATATATTCAGCATTCAGTTACCTTTTCATAACATTTTCAAATAGTTCCACTAATGCAGTTAAGTAAAATACACCTTTTTCACTAAAATATTTAAAGTTATAATTTTGTATTATAAAGAATATATATCGTAAAGGAATCCTGAAGCCAGTGTTCTCTGTTATTGATTGAACTCTCCCTTAAATGTCCACACCAAATAATGGCAGGGAAGTGAACTGGGGAATTTCTCCCAAGGGGTAGCCTGACCATTGGGGAGAAGTCAGGAATCTTGATCATTGTGAAGGCACCAAAAGCCTTTGAAATGTCATCTTTTTTGAGCATTTTAGAAGGCTGTCAACATCAAATTAATAAGTAAAATTCAATTAAAATATTAACAACTCACTGGAAAAATATCAGCTGCCTAAATCTTAAAAAGTGATTACAGTAATATTTTAAGAACATTTAGATTTGGGTCCAAGTCTCAGTCCTCTTGTGGACCAGAAACTCATGAAAATACTGTATCTTTCATATTTGCTTTCTCATCTGCAAAAGAGGTAATAATTCCTACAGTACCTTTCCACAGTTTTGTAAAAGAGAAAATGAGGCAATATATGAGAGTTTTTACAAACTATAAAGTTTAAAAGGTTATTATAATAGCTTTCCCTGTGAAAAGGAATATTTATGCTTAAGGAAGGCTAGAATTAACACAATAGAGTCATCAAACCTGTTCATATAAATAGCCGTTATGCATTTTATTTCACTTTGAAAGTTGGGCTGTTTAATTTAAGTATATATGTATTTGCTGTTGAAAAGCTAACTCCCATTAATCACATCAGATGTAAAAATGACTTGCATTTTTCATCATTCATAGAGTCATGATGTTTACAGTTGTTTTGCATCCAACTGATTTTGTGTTTAGGAAGCAATTTTGAAATCATTTCAAACATTGCTTGATATTAACGTCTACTTGCTGATTTTAAAAGAGCTTAGAAACTTTTCGTATTAATTCGTATATTTGTTCTTTTGTGTTTTACTGCTTCTCTGGGTTAAAGTCCCTATAACTGGTAAGTGTATTGCAAAGAACTCTAGAAAAACCTTTCCATCAAAGAAATACTTGAAGCTATTATTCTTAAATGTGCAATAAGGATAATGATTAGTACATGTACTCTCCCTACTGGTCACATTATGAGGTGGTTTAATGAGGCAGTTTAATGAGGCGGAAATGTTTGGAGATTAATAATTCATATGTGATTATTTTAAAGAATGCTTCTCATTGTACTGCTGTGTTAAAGCTTAATGCAAAACAAAAGGCATTTCATACTGGAAGGTAGTTACGGGAGATTTAGGATGTGGGTGAGTTCTGTGTTGCTCACTGAGCCTTTTGCTATGGCAGTGTTCTGCTGCTCCCACAGGCCTGATGTGAGCGCCAGGGCTGCCCACAGAGCAGCTTAGGTGATTGCATTCCGCCTCACTGACATTATCTGTCCTGTCTCCTCCTGAGCTCAATAGCGCCCAGATCAGTAGCTTTTGATTAACTGTACTGGAGAGATGTCTATTTTCTCTCTGTCAGTCTATCCACTGTAATATTTTAGCAAAGATAGATCAATTGAGGAAGAAGAAAATCTCATGAGTTATGTTCACTATAAAATGTTTGTGTCTAGAGGGGTGGGCACAACCTAACTTAAGGGCATTAATTCAGTTGGGTGGTTAGGTCTCAGCAGAATCCACCAGGGGTGTTTTGATGCATTGTGGTATTTTAGAAGTAAATGAGAAAGAAAAAAAAATTGCATTCAGCCTGATAAGCGAAAGTAACGTAAATGCAATCAAGCTAAATTATAGAAGCATACAAATCTGATTGTGGGGTTCTTTTGTTTTGTTTTTTCCTTCTCCAGGAAGAAAAAATGTTTATCATGGGGACAACAATTCATTTTTTGCCATATCCTATCTGTAGAGTTGGTGATAGAACAGGCAAACGTACCAGCATTTGAAATATGTTTCACTGTTAATTAAATATTGTTCTCTACAGTATGCGTTACCATTAAAAACAAAAGTTCCCCTAAGAGTGTACTTTCTCTTCTGTTAATGAGCATGGCAGTATAATGCTTTTCAAAGTAACGCCCCTTAAACCATTTTTTTAAAGTGGTAAGTTTAAATGTGATACCTATACGCATGCTTTTTCTCATTGTAATGATTAGAACTATGGTCATTAAAATAATAATTATTCTCCATAGGTAAAATGTTCTTGTTTTTTTTTTTTTTCTTCCTTGTTATGACAGAAAGATGCTTAAAGTTTCTTTTCATTTTAAGCTATTAGCACAATTGGGAGGGGGCCTATGTTTAACTGTGGGTGGTAAGGGAACCAACTGGTTTTAACGAATTCAGTTATTGAAATGTTTATTGACTGCTTTGCACAAGGCAGTAGGAATGAATTTTTTAAAAATGACTCAGTGTTTAGAGTTTAATGAAGAAAAAAACAGTAAACAAATTATTAAAAGATAAAATACATGAATGTAGAAAAAGAGTCCATGAGAATGTAAAGCAGGCGCTGTGAAGCCCAGCATGGGTGGTCCAGGGAAGAATTTCAGAGGAAGTGCCTACTACATATTTTGCCCAGAGACGTAGGCTAGTTTCTTTCGTACGGAGGCCAGAAGAGTCCAAATATATTAGCAATCAAAGCAAAACAATAATAATAAACCAAGTGGGTAGAGATTGTGTATAAATACGCATGGGACCTGGCTGGCAGATGTAAAGGGTTCAGAGATGATTCTGTAGAATGCCCTTGTTTTCCAGGCTGGGGTGCCATGGGGAGAAGCCCCAAGTGGTTGGGCATAGTAAGACCACCAGGGCAAGAAGAACAGCCCAGAGGGGATGGGTTGCCTATGGGGAGTTTGGCTTGTGGCTGAGGAGATTGTTTATTTTAATCAGCAATGAAAACACCTCCCCAATTGATTTGATTTTCTGTTCTTACTCTATACTGCTGTGATTGCAGACACAGAGGAAAGGGAGAAGCCAGCAGAATCTCCCACTATACTTTTTAAAAGTGGACTAGGTGTCTCTCTACACCTCACAGCATAAATATATGTACTTGCCTTGTTGAAATAAACATGTGTACTCTGACCTCGTACCTTGAGCTGACGTGGAAGGCTTTATCTTTATGGGGATGCTGCCCTAGACCTCTACTCTATTTCTTTCCTTTCTTCCTGTTACCAGAAAGATCTTGAGATCTTAAAAATCTGTGCATTGATATATATATATATTAAACAAGATAACTTTGTCTTCTCTTTAATGTTCTTGAATCTGAAAAATGCCAGATGAGAACCACAGTGCTACAGCAGAGTCCAGTCGCCTTCTTGATGTACCTCGCTACCTGTGTGAGGGGACAGAATCCCCTTACCAGACGGGACAGCTGCACCCAGCCATCAGGGTGGCCGATTTACTGCAGCACATTAATCTCATGAAGACATCAGACAGCTATGGGTTCAAAGAGGAATATGAGGTGAAAGTTTCTGAATTATGTTAAATGTTATTTCTAACTATCATACTCAGGGAACTTTAACAAATCCCCTCCCCGTAACATAACTCTAGACACTAATCCTGTGTTTGCATGAAAAGTCAAGTGTGTAGCAAGGTATCTTGGGTTTCATTGTATCATTACATACAGTGGTTCAAATGACTTAGTCAGTAGGTACTTCTCTGCCTCTTTGTTGACCTTCTGTTGAGAAATGAGAGGAAGCTTTGTGTTCTGCATGTACTACTTGTCATTCTTAGTTTTGTTTTGAGCATTATTGTGGAGTGTAACTGAGAGGAAAAAACAGAGCACTACAAATCCAAATGTTCAGAAGCCAAAAGAAGGATATGAGAGACTCTTCTTCCTTGTTTCCCTTTCCTGCTCAAACAGAAATACCAGGAAACTACAAGAGAAGTGATTTAAATTAATCATTACAATAATAGCAAAAAGGAAACACTTCCTTTGCCACACTTACCTACTGAGAAATATCAGTATGATGTGGAGAAGGAAGCTCTTCCACCACCATACACACACCACCACATGGGCATTACCATCCATGCACCACAATACATACACCAGCACACAAGTACCACCGTACATGCACCACCATGTGTGCACCATACATGCGCCGCCATGCATGCACCCCATACATGCACTACCATATGTGTACCACCATACATACATCGCCATACATATACCACACATGTGCCACCACGCATGCACCACCATATATGCACCACCATACATTACTACCATGCATGTATTACCATACATGCACCTCCTTGATTGTACCACCAAACATGCACATTTAAGATGAAAGAATTCAAGCCCTAATTTTCTTTGCATTCAAAATGCATTCAACTCCACAAAGAATTCTTTAAATGCTACATCATATTTCTAGATTATTGCTTGTATAACTTAGTTTGGGAGGGAATATAATTATCTTTGAATTTCAAAAGTTGGTTTTAGATGTATGCCGGAAACACTGTTCTGTGGTAACGAAATAGTGCAAGGAATTATAATATGCTGCCAGCACTGGTTCTTTTTGTTCATTTCCTTGTATTCCTGTATACCTCACTTCAAAGACCGTTGACTCTTTGAAGACCCCATTTCCTGTGTTGAGCAAAGTTAAAGCTTTTCTGCAAAAAGGAAAGCTATACCCATATTTTAAATTGCTACATATGGCAATTAAACAAATCAACAAATTCATCTGTTCCAAAATTCTTGGAGATGGTGACTTTTTTAAAATTTTCATATGGTCTCTTGTAGAGACTCCGTGCTTTTCATGATCTTCAAAGAAAGTGAAATGTGGTGTATTGCACATGATTTAATGAATAATTGTGGGGAAAACAAGTGTGGCTTTGTACCTGTTATAAATGTTAAAGGAAACACACTTGAAAGATAACTCATTAAAAGTAGTTTTGAAGTTTTTGATGCTTTTCTCACAAAGTTATAGCAATCTTAAATTTGAAATAATTTTAAAGCCTTTTTCCCCCCTAAAGTTGTTTCTTGTCCTTCATTTGAATTCAGTGCAATCCAAGATGAACAAGTAGGAATCCAGCAAATAAGCTTTGTTCTGAAATGGAACTTGTTTACTGCCCTAAGACTTCCTCCCTGAAAAAGTGGCTATTACTGTTTTGGTCTTCACAACAGATAAACTTGATGCATGAAAAGGAATTAAATTCAGTCTGCTTGTTAATTTTTTTTTTTCTAGAGCTTCTTTGAAGGACAGTCAGCATCTTGGGATGTAGCAAAAAAAGACCAAAATAGAGCAAAAAACCGATATGGAAACATTATAGCATGTAAGTCCTCATAGAATTCTTGGTAAATGTAAATATTGTGGGTAGAAGATAAATAGTACGTTGCAACCCCTCTTTATGTGGTTTTAAATTTTAAGAGAGACCCTGGGTCTGACACATCTGTTTATAAAGCAATCTACAATATTCAAACGGCATTGGCTATTGGCAGTCACTCTGAAATTGTCATCACCCTCATTCATGAAATTGTTTCACACTCTTCACCCTGTGGATTTAGTTCTATGTGACTATATGTTTGCACACAAATGTATGTGATATTATGAAATAACTGAGAATATCAGACTATGAAAAGAAATGGACACAGACACAGGCTTGCCCGGGTTGAGAATGGTAGGGAAGTGGGGGTCAGTTGGGAAAAAAGGCGGCATGTAAAACTTTAAACAATAAAAAAAGACACTAATTTAAGGGGGGAAAAAAGAAAAAAGAAAAGAAAGCTCTTTTCAGTGACAAATTACTGCTAAACCTCCAAAACTATTCAAGGTGGGAGTGGTCTTCTTTCTACAGACCTTTATTCCTTCCTTGGAGCCTGTGCGAATTCCAGTTGCTCCCTGTTATCTGTCCTTAGGGATTTCCTCCTCCTCACCTCTTCAATGTGTGTGCATGAGTAAATAAATTAATTACCATGTGAAACTTCAGCAGCAATGAGGAAAGTTAACATCATGTAGCATGTAACTAGCTCTTTATTTACTTTGAGCACCCTATTACCAATGTAAATTATTTTATGGATGCTTATGAATGCATCAGAATTTAATCTTGACTCTCAAAAAAGAGGAAGTTGAGAGCAGAGTTCAAAACTCACTCCTTATTTCTGTGGCTCATTTGGTGTAACGTACAGACTAGAAGGATCCCACCATATACAGTTATGCCTCGGAAGCCAAATTAGGAATCAAGGCAAATTGAGTTCCTTAGACAAGTCCATGACTCACATGACGATTCATTGTACATGAATTATCATGTCCCCTAAAAGCTTCCTAATTATGAAGATGTTAGTCACTAAAGCTTTATTAGCAGAAGGTTATAACCGTGATATGTAACAAGCTCATTAAAGTTATTGTATTTCTTCTAATGACTGGTGTTTAAGGAAATGTAGATACTTTATTATGGGTAAGCTCGATATTCCAAGTCTCTGCCAGTGCATTGCCTCAAAACAAGGGGAGTATTTCATAGCTTTTATTTTATTATTCACAAATTTTAGACGACCACTCCAGAGTAATTTTGCAACCTGTCGAGGATGATCCTTCTTCAGACTACATTAATGCCAACTATATAGACGTAAGTATTTCTATAGCTCAGTATGCCCCATTGGTTAGCTTATCGATGTGAACCCTTTTGCTTGTTATTACCTACAAAGTGATTGCTAGCTTTTAAAAGTAAAGAACAAACTGTACACTTTTTTCCTTGTTCTGCGTCCTAGTACTTACTGACGTTGTTGTGCTTTCTTTCACACCTGACTTTGGTTTGGGCTGTAGATTTGGCTGTACAGGGATGTAAGTACCACTATATGTACATAACAGTATGCTATTATGAATACTTCATGCAACTACTCTTAATTACAGTTATTACTAATGCTTACTACTAGTTCTCTCTGCATGCTCCACGTAACTAGCTCATACAGTATATCTATGTTCATTTCCTTGTAATGCCTTTACACGTGTAAAGATCTGTTTTAGCTCCTTCCCTTTGCTGTGTTTAGAAAAACGGGACCATGTTGAGCTCTTGACAGTTTATTATGCACCTGAGTTTTATTTGTTGATGATTTCTGTTTCTGGCTTTTATTCTTATCCTTCCCCAAACATGTGAGAAGCTGGATAGTATGATGTGTTAGTGTTTCTGAAATTTTACTTTTTTTACACTTGACTTCTGATGTGAATAATGGATAGGGAGACTATTGTGTGGTGTGTGGTGTTGGATTGTGAAGTGTTAAAATCACTTAGGCAAAGTAGTTACTAAATTGCATTTTTAAAAGTACACATATCACACATATGTATGGAACCATACAAATAAAAAATTTTTTTGTGATCATACATTTCACTGTTAAAATTTTAGTTAAAAATGTATCTACATGTAAATTCTTTTTTCAATGGAAAATAAAATTTCTAATAAAAGATAAAACATTGTTGAGGAGGCAATACATTATACTACATGTAAGGAGAACAGCCTCTTCACTTATACTTCCTGGTTCAAAATCACATTGGAAATCATGGGAATACTATTTCATCTCTCAGCCTCAGTTTCCTCTTCACATGGAGGTAATGATAGTACTAATCTTATTTGTTGTGAGAATTAAATGAAGCAATGCATATTGAGCACTTAGCACAATGCTTAGCACATGGGAAATACTTATTAAAATAAACTTCAGCTATTTTAAAAAATAATTTACCTAGGTGTGCTGAAATTAGTCAGTTCAAAATATAGTTATTTTGTGAAGTATCATTATTTATATGTTTAACTAATAAATTTTATAAATTATAGTCTCAATATATTTATTAAAATTTTTATCCTCTTTTATTCTCATTTAATATTTAAAATAATTAGACATCTTTACATGGAAAAATTTTGGTCTATTCATTAAAATTAACATTTCTCTGACAAATGTGTGCTTCTTTTTTTTTTAATAATATATTTTATTGATTTTGTACAGAGAGGAAGGGAGAGAGATAGAGAGTTAGAAACATTGATGAGAGAGAGTCATTGATCAGCTGCCTCTTGCACACCCACTACTGGGGATATGCCCACAACCAAGGTACATGCCCTTGACCGGAATCGAACCCAGGACCTTTTAGTCCCCAAGCCGAAGCTCTATCCATTGAGCCAAACAGGTTTCGGCTGTGCGCTTCTTGTTATCTATATAATTTAACCTTGATTTTCTACCAAGGCATATACACTGGAGCCTTAGCATAATGCTACTTTATGGTTCATATATAAAAAGTATGTCCTAAGACTATTTTTATCTCATATTTCTGTTAAGACCCCAGTGTATTTTGGCTAATCATTATACAATATCATAATTTTCCCTCTCCTATTAATTTGTTATGCTTAAAAGATGTCTCCTGCAACTGGTAAATTTTTCATAAAAAGCAGGAGATAAAATGCCTATAAAGCTTGAAACAAATTTTTCATAAAACGCTGTGCTATGTGGGTATATTAAGGAATAAAAACTTCCAATTTTGCAACAGTGTACTGCTCAACCTATTAAGTTTTAGATAGGAGATCATTTATATGCATGCCTATCTGTATTGAGTCATCCGCCACCAAACTGTGGATAAATTGTACCACAGGCTTTTTACTTAAGCACTCTGGTAAATACACAACAAATTCAAAACTTAGCCTATTATCCCATTAACATATTTGCTACTCGGGGTCTATTGCAATTTTTTTTTTTACTAAATATATTTTATTGATTTTTTTTTTTTTTACAGAGAGGAAGAGAGAGAGATAGAGAGCTAGAAACATCAATAAGAGAGAATCATCGATCAGCTGCCTCTTGCACACCCTCCACCAGGGATGTGCCCACAACCAATGTACATGCCCCTTGACCGGAATCGAACCTGGGACCTTTCAGTCCGCAGATCGACGCTCTTCCGCTGAGCCAAACGGGTTTTTAGCTCTATTGCAATTTAAACTAATTAATAGTAACTACCAAAACTATTCCTTCTCGGGAATAATTTCTTTATTGAAACAATATTAGATCTTTAACCACACAGAGTTCTTGGTACATTAAAAAGAGAGGAAAAAAAAATACTGTATTGGTCAAGATAAGAATACTTTAAAACTCTTCATTTCTCTGTACATGTCTGTACCTATAATTATGTGTGAGTAAATTATTATCAGCACACATAAATGGTTTTGGCAGATTCATGAATATGTTATAGAATAGGAACATTCTGTATGAAATCTCAGCAGGATTTTGATTTGATGCACACATGCATTGTCCAGCTCTAACATTGGAATGTTCTCTTATTTTTTTTTTTTTTATGGCTCTAATATGTCGTTGTCCATTTGTAATGCAGTGTGTTGTATCTTTGGATGATAAAGTGAGAATTGGTATTATTTAACACAGTTTTTCCAGGAATGAATGATTAAAGCTTAACATGAAGGCATAAACATTTTAGTGAAACCAAACAAAATCTATGAGGTTATTCCCTATGAAACAAATCTCAATTATGCAATATATATTCTAATCAGAGCCCTTAAAATATTTATTTTTTTAATCTTATCTTTCAGATAACCTAGGTTTGAGAAGTGAACGATGAGTTCACTACTCATTTCTGGACTTTTTACTATAACTTAATCTTAACAGGTGGTTGTCTTCATCTTTTTTATGCCTTCATTCTTTTTATTTTGATAGTGATGTAAAATGATGACTAATCTGTTCTCCTATTTTAGGGCTACCAGAGACCAAGCCACTACATTGCAACTCAAGGTAAAACTTTGCCTTTTTAAGTGTTATACCAAAAACTTTTTCATCCATATGGTACTTTTTGCAATTTTACCTACATTGGCTGAAGAAAAATAACACTGCTCTTTACTCATTTGCATAATGCAACTTCTTTTATCTCCATAAAACATATATAAACTTTGATTTATTTTTTTATTGCAAGTAAAAGAAAAGCTGCTGGTAGTTTTTGTGATTTGGTTCTTGGTATCCTGATGCCCCAGAGCTCTAGTCAGTAGTGCTGGGCAGAGGAATTTCTCACTTTTGATGAAAGCAAGGGAAGTCTCATCTCATTTAAGGTGCCCATTTCCTTGAAGCAGTCTGTCAGCCTGGAATGTAATAGTACCCAAGACCAATATTTTTATAATGAGATGTTAGACTATCTTTCAGCAGGTTTTTGTTTTTTTTTAACAAGTTAAGATTGAGACAAAACAAAGGGAATTCTGTCAGGTTTATTCTTTGCTGGAAAATAAGAAAAAGGGTAGAGAAAACATGTTACAGTGGCACATTGGGGAGAAAAAGTATTCTAACATTAAAAATAAAAACAGCTTCAGTCTCTCCCTTTTGAGCACTGGTCATGAGGAGAGAAACTTGCACATTTATTTTATAAAAGAGAAAAGTGACATTGCTCTTGGACAGAAGGCATGTTTTTTCATTGTTTTCACATATATTGGAATAATTGAGTATAATTATATATAAGCCTTTTAAAGTTGGAAAACTTATTTATGGTGAATATTATTCTAGTTTCATGGTAATGAGTAAAGCCTAGGAGGAGCTTTCAAGGTTTGCAGATGATACTATATGTATGAAGTTTCTTCCTTAACCATAAACATGGCACTGTGTATAAATAGTGTGCATATATGTAATTGGTCATATGTACTGTTTGGTTGACAGTAGCATAGTCCTATTTTCACAGGTATTTGAAGATCCATTAAAGTAACTTGGATATAAATACCCTAGAAATGAATGATAGCTTCTGCACTGGAAATTATAGAAAGCAAATCTAAAAACAAACTTGTATAGGTCTGTGTTTTTGCCCATAGCATGACTGTAGATGGGAACTGGACTTTAAATACTTTAAGTGACATTGTCTTCTAAATTTATTACTGATTACAAAATTTCTCTGATAACATAACATTCACATTAATTTTTTAATAGGCCCAGTTCATGAAACAGTGTATGATTTCTGGAGGATGATCTGGCAAGAACAGTCTGTCTGCATTGTGATGGTTACAAATCTAGTTGAGGTTGGCCGGGTAAGAAAAAAATATATATTTGTTTTGTAGTGTGTGTGTGTGTGTGTGTGTGTGTGTGTGTGTGTGTGTGTGGCATATCAAATTAGTACTCCCCTAAGCGAACCTTTGATAGCTGAGAAATTACTGGATTTCTCAATTAGTAATAAAGTAAGCTTTGATTATATACTAAAATCTAATTGCATTATAAGCTTGTATATTTTTATGAGATTGCATAAAATCTATTTAATGTGAAACATTCTTATCTCATTTCTAGATTTTATTTAAAGCTGTATTTTAACTGGGAGGTGAAGAGTAATCAGGGAAATTAAATATCTTGGTTCATGTATTAAGTATTCAGGTTCACCTATGTCGTCTTTTTGTCATTTAGGTTAAGTGCTATAAGTATTGGCCTGATGATACAGAAGTTTATGGTGACTTCAAAGTAACTTGTGTAGAAATGGAACCACTTGCTGAATATGTAGTTAGGACTTTCACCCTAGAAAGGGTAAGTACTCTAAAGTTCTATTTTTAAAAAACATATATACTGAAACTTAAATTTTCTCTTAAAATTTCTGACAAGATAATGTTTTGATGATTCTACAAATCCATTCACTGTATTCATTTATTTCGCAAATATTTATTTGATAGCATACCATGTGCGAGGCATGTTTATAAACCTGGGGACACATTAATTTCTGCTCTTGTGGGAGCTTATAATCTGTTAAGGGATACAAGCAATAAACAGTAATAAATAATCAAATACATCATAAATTACGAAAAGTACTACAGAGAAAAATAATGTTGGGAATGGAAGTAGAGAATATTGCTGAGGTAGGAGAAGGATGATGAGAAAGGACTCATTGAGAAAATGACATTAACTAAAGGCCTGTATGAAATGAGGAAGGGAAGAATTTAAATACTCTATCTCAAGTTAACCCAAGGAAGGATATTTCTGGTAGAGGGAAGATTCATTTCATAGACCCGGAGGCATGAGTTTCACTGTCACAATGAGAAATAGACAGGAATCAAGGATGTTCAGAGATGAGAAAGAAATGTGAGATGAAGTCATAGAAATCACAGAGCCAAATAAGTGAATCCTTGTGAACCATTAGGATTTTAGCTTGTATTAAAAGAAGGTTGGGTGCCATTGAAGGGTTATGAGCCCAGGTGTAACATGTTCTGACTTTTATTTTTAACTAGTGGCCCAGTGCACGAAATTCGTGCTTGAGAAGCGTGTGTGTGTTAGGGTGGGAGGGGGGGGGTTGTCAACCTACTCTTCACCCTCTCCAATCTGGGATCCCTCTCACAATCCAGAACCACTGGCTCCTAAGTGCTCACCTGCCTGCCTGATGCCCCAACTGCTCTCCTGCTTGCCTGATCCCCCTAACTGCTCTCCCCTCCTTGTCTGTTCCCCCTAATTGCCTATCTACTCTCCCCTCCTGACCTAAACTCCCTAACTGCCTATGTGCTCTCCCTTCTTCTCCATTCCTTCAGAGTCCAGTGCAGGAGTGCTGAGGGGTCTGCATGGCCCATCCTGATGGCCCCCCTCCAGGCTGGGCAGCCCTGCAAGTCTGTTCCTGCCTCTGCCAGGGGGGCCATCCCCTGCAGCATGTCCTGGTGGCACAAGTCCCCGCCCACCAGCTCCTGCCTGTTGACCCATTGTGACTAGGACACTGTTAGGACCAATTAGCATATTATCTCTTTATATTTATAGATAAGATTAGAAAGACTAAAGCAGAGTGGCCAGTGTATGGACAATGAAGTGGAATGTAGAAGCAATGAATTACATTGCTGCAGATACCATTGTTGCATATATGTCTTTGTACAACTACAGAGCTCTAAAATATTGGTGTCATTTGACCAAGAATTTTCCTTTCATAAATCTGTCATAAGGAGTGTATTCAAAATACATTAACTTTGTTTATAGTCTTGGAATATCATAAATGGCTATAAATGTCCGGCAATAGAAAGATAGTTACATTATTATATACTTATGATCTATAAATAGCATTTGTTTGCAAATGATATTTCTAAGTATTTTACCAACTTTAAAAATAATTAGAGGAAGTATTAAATGAAAAGTAGCATTACACAGAACAAAATAGACACTAATATTCTAGCAAAAAGTAACTTCCTAAATTTGACCCAAAAAGAGTTTGAAACCTTGAACAGATAATTGAAGAAAATAAGTAATTGTTAAAATTTACCACTAAAATTACATTATGATTTCATAGTTGAGGTTTCTTTCATCTTTGGAGAATTGCTAATGCCTATCTATATTAATCAAACGAATCGGGCTATAGAAAAACTGTTATGAACAGCTATATTTTTAAAAGCTTCCATAACTGTGATAACAGAACCATATGAAGAAGAGCTTCTCTCTCTGTTCCTTTTCATCTCAATCTCTCTCCCCTGTCAAGTGTGCATGCACACACATTGCAAATCAATTACATTCGAGAACATGCTATAAAAAAAAACTTCAAAACAAAATATTTAAAATTTGAATACCAAAATAAATTAAGGAAAGATCATAGCATGATCCATCGTGATTTTTTCTAAGAATACAAAGATGTTACATCCATGGTAGGATATTTCATTATGTCAGTGTTTTAAAGGAAGAAAACCATGTGATTTTTATCAGTAAACATTGTAGTGCACTTATTTTGATTTAAACATTTGTAATACCCTAATTATATTAGGAAAGTAAGGAAAGTCCCTAATCATGATAAAGGTGATTCAACAACAACGAGCAGCATGGGTGTTAAGAAGTGAAAAATTAAAGGAATTTCAGTTATAATCAGGAATGGGATGTGGATAATCATTCTCACTGGTATTCAACATCTATCAAATGATATAAGACAAAAGGAATAAACTGCATTACTATTAGAAGAAATAATTATTTTTAAATGAAATTATTTTGTAGCAAGGAAACTAGAGGTAATATTTTTAAATGAAATTAATAATCATTTATTTAGGTGACTAATTCAAGATAATTACCCATAAATTCTAGTTTTTATGTTAATAATAAAAAGTGAATAGACATTTTAAAAAGTTATTAAAATTTACTAAAAAGAGCAAGGTCCTTGTAGCAACTCCAGGAAGAGGATTAATGTAGAGAAGGTGAATCAATATCTAAAATCAAGTCTTAGAACAATTTATGACTTTTCCCACTAGAGTTGACTTTGAAAGGCATAATGAAAGGGGTCTTTCCATTTGTATGCCTCCATGGTGATGTTTATTATTGTTGCTATTAAATTACTTGTTGAGCCCTGCTTTCTGCAGGGACTTGTACTAGGAATTAGAATTAATAAAAATATAACATGACCACTGGCTCCCAAGGTTTGAGTGATATTGGTGCACATTGGATAGAATCTAAAAATAAGCTATTTTTCCTAATTTGTTTCATTTCATGCAATTGAAATAAATGAGATTGAGATTTCACAGATAAGCTCACAATAGAGCTGGAATTGTATAGGTTATAGTGGGTTTTTTAGTTTTGAGTTTTTTGCTACAAATGTGGGTTCTGAAAAATAAATTCTGCAGCACTTCATCCTTGCTTTCTAACCGGTGCCCCCACAATCTGCAGGCTTCTTCTAGCAAAATAGAAGGGAAAGCTTTGAAATGTACATTTACAGGCTTCTCTTAAATTAACCCAATAGGAGGCCCAACAATGGACGCTTCGCCTCTTTCATTTTGTATTTTTGTTACTATAAATAATACTCGGTGTGCTGAATTATTTCACAGAGTTAAGAAAAATAGGCTGCCCAAAGAATAGTTTAGCTGTCTGTATATTTTTTTATAAACCAATCTAGAGTAGCACTGTCCTGGAAAATCTCTACATGCTACGCTTCAACACCATTTTCAACATGGATAAGCAAGGCATTACAATCTCTCTGTGAGGTGTGAGACGCTAGAAAGTTGCTTTTATAAACTCCTTGAGTACTCGGTGCTTTGGGGTCAATAGGGCAGCATTTTCGCTTTTCCATCTCTTCCTTTTCCCCTAATTTTATGTGTTGTTGTTTCCGGGAAAGGAACAAACTGTCAGAGTAAATAAAATTTACCCAGACTTATAAAACTGGGCAAGACTTCTCATTTTCTTTCTTTGGCAGTTGGCTGACAATAAATATAAGCTCCTGGGCCCATGTCAGGCCAGCTTCCTTTTTCAGAAAAAGCATGATCCTGGTACATTTTTCATTGTCCGTCTGGTCTGGTACTCATGGCTGTGTTTTATGACTTTATTTGGGGCCATCTGAAAACATTGCTTTCCATGTCTGCACAGAGGGGATACAATGAGATTCGGGAAGTTAAGCAGTTCCATTTTACCGGCTGGCCTGACCATGGAGTGCCCTACCACGCAACAGGGCTGCTTTCCTTTATCCGGCGAGTCAAGTTCTCCAACCCTCCCAGCGCTGGCCCCATCGTGGTGCATTGCAGGTGAGTGATGGTCCAAATGGCATGGACGGTGTACAGCCAACTTTTTTGAAAAGTATCAAAATAAGGCTTGAAGCACAAAAGCGAATACATTCTTACAAAGTTTCTGCTTGCATGTATTACCGATAAGGTAAAACAGCAAGGAAATAAAAGCCATAAGGAGGATATAAAATAGAAATTGAAGAAGTAAATACAGTCAGCCTAATGTGTATAGTGCTGTCCACAATTATGAGTGTAGAAATTGCTTTTTAGTGGCAACATCTGTGTTTTGGGGTTCTTTGATTGCTTTTGCAAATCCCATATTGTATAGAATGGCAGGTTGAGATAGAGATTTCTTGCCAACCTAGTAAATTCCCAATAGAATCCCAGCTTTTAAAACTAAATTTGAGGCATATAAAGTTAGTAAATGGCCTAAAATGCAAGAATTTGTGCTATAACACAGCTATTTAAGAATTTGGGGGGAGAAAATCCATCAGAGGATCTTGAAAACTACATCAGTGAAATCCAGGAAATATATGCTGGAAAACTGTGAACATTATATCCAGACTTCCTTCTGATTAGAAACTTCTCTTAAAACAAGCACTCTGAGGCACTAAAAGCAAATTACATGGCCTCATTTTGAGATGTGAACAGAAGAATACTGAATCTGAAAGGCTTTTTCTAAATGCTACACACCATTCTCACATACTATCTCCTCCCAATAATTTGTACTTACGCTTTTTTTTTCCCCTGAAAATCCAGTCTATTCAGAATTTAAATGGTCATGAATAAAAGGGGGAAAAACCCCACAGAGAATAAAATAAAAGTCAGCCCCTATGTAACCTGGAAAATTTATTAAAATAAATATTTTAATTCAACCCTCCTAAAGAAATCTGATGTATTCTTCAATTACTTTTCTGTCTCAAACTCTGGGAACAGTGATTGAGAGACAGTAGGTAAAAAGAAAAAAGAGAGAGATAAAGAAAAGAGAAAAATAAAGGAATAGAGATATTCACAGTATCTTTTACTTAAATTCCTTTTGAACAGTGAGTTTAAGAGAAGTGACTAAATCTGAACAACAAAGAAATAATAGTCTATCCATGCATTTAGAAAATGAAATTAAAGGTTTTCAGTTCAGGGTTGTTTTGACTTATCATAGGGGTTTATTTTCCTGTGAATTGCTTGCTTTAGACGTGTTCCAAGATTCTTAGATACTCTCTCGAAACAGAAGTGTCATTTTTCTACTTAGACTTAGCTATCTCTGAGTTTATGGAAAAGAGGAAGCAGACTACAAGTGGAATTCCTCCCCCTTCAAAAAAAAATCCCAATATATCCTGTTTGCTCCATTGACTTCTATATATAAAATTGGAGAGGCAATCCTAAGGGGCAAAATTATCAACACTATATTATGACTTCAAGTATTGAATTAAATGTCTTAAGATAGTGACTATTTATAGTGATCTGATAAGAATTATACTATAACAATTCATTTTTATTTCTCCTTCAGCTTTCCATTCAAAAGAGTCTTTCTACTATTGATCTCTCCCCATTGATAAGCACCATTTTTCCCACCCTCCCCATTAGCATTTACCCTACACTGTGGCTTTTCAGATTTCCCATTGAAAGGCTTTGGAATTAATGTTCCTTGACCTTAGAATGTACAAGAGTCTGACTTAAGACAGCCAGCAGTCTTGCATTTTGCTAGAACACCTGCGTATTAAAGTCTTTACTTTGGGGTTAAATGTTAAAGTGTGAATCCTTCTGGATCAATTCTATGAATTTGAAATTATGTGTATTTGGTTTTCATAACATGAAGGCTACATAAGAGAGTGATGGCATTTGAACAAAGCATGTATCGATACATTCCTTTCAATATAATGATGTATAAAAATAACTTGATTCACAAAGTTATGTCATCTGATTTGTAACTCTTATTTCAATCTTCAGTTTACACCAAACTATATATTCTACATGAAGTTTATTTTGTACATTAAAAAGTGTTTATGCAATAAGTACAAATTATGTCTTGTGCTCTATGAAGTTATTTCAATTCCATCTATCTGAATGCCAAAAGGATCTTTATTTAAGGTTGCATAGACGGGCTCTTGCAATTCTTTAGGTTTGTTTAATTTTTTGCAGTGCTGGTGCTGGCCGAACTGGCTGTTACATTGTGATTGATATCATGCTGGACATGGCTGAAAGGGAGGGCGTGGTTGACATCTACAACTGTGTCAAAGCCTTAAGATCTCGTCGAATCAATATGGTCCAGACAGAGGTATGTTGATTGTTGGTTTACGTCTAGGGGATTTCTTTTTTAGGCTTTTCCAATATTTTTCAAACAATGTGCCAGTGCTTTTTACATAGAATCAATAGTAGCTCATCAAGCTACGATTGATTGGTATTTTTATTAATATTGGTGTTTTTGTTCATATTTCCATGTATAATAGAGAAAGTTCTCTGAATTCTCTCTTTGATGACAGATAAGCTTTATTAAAATGATATGAAGATTTTCATTTTCTTTCTTTTAATAGGAACAGTACATTTTTATTCATGATGCCATTTTAGAAGCCTGCTTATGTGGAGAAACTGCCATACCCGTCTGTGAATTTAAAGCTGCATATTTTGATATGATTAGGATAGATTCCCAGACTAATTCTTCACATCTCAAAGACGAATTCCAGGTATTTGCCTTTTCTAGGTCTTCTTTTATGAGCAACTTATTTCAACTTGTTCTGGATATTATTAATTCTTCTAAGGGAGGTCTTTCAAGTCAAATTTAAAACCTTTGACCCCATTTTAAGTATAATACCTTTCTCTTTCATTATGCATATTGTGCAGTCACTTTTGTATTAATGAGCTTGTATCTGCTGCATCATGAAAAGCAAATGAGTTCAGACTCGGGGAAGAGTATGGGAAAAGATTTCAGAAAAATTGAATTTAGTGGTGATTTTTATATACTTCCAATCTTTATTTTTTTCCAGTCTAAATCATTTTGGCATTTCGTGTCACTCAAAACGTTGGACCAAACACATTAATAATAATAGCTAAAGTTTGTGCAAAACATTTGTTTCTAAAATACATAAATGCTTATACTGCCCTTAAAACATCCATGGAAGTGTGTGACTATGAAGTGCCCATGGAAACTTAATACTTGGATTCTTTACACAGTGCTCCTGCCAGCTTACCCCAGTCTATCTTTAAATATGGCATGCCAGATTTTCTTAGAAATAATAATTTCCAACTTGGGTGATGGGTCATTATCATAGGACACTCTGATTGCATTATATTTGGTTAGGCAATACATCATGCAGGTAGCTGTGTTGTTTAGCTTCCCTTTTCTTTTTAAGAAAAGGCACATTGTACAGTTCATATATATACCTTGTACAAATCCTTCATTTTCTACTTGGACTCCTAAATACTTTATGAATCTGTATTGTGGTATTTAAATGGGTCGCTGCCTTTTAACCTAGGCTCCCTTTTCTTTTCAGACCTTGAATTCAGTCACCCCTCGACTACAAGCTGAAGACTGCAGCATAGCATGCCTGCCAAGGAACCATGACAAGAACCGTTTCATGGACATGCTGCCACCTGACAGATGTCTGCCTTTTCTCATTACAATTGATGGGGAGAGTAGTAACTACATCAATGCTGCTCTTATGGATGTAAGAGACTGCTCTCTTTGTTAGTGTAAAGAGTCATGAAAAGCTACAGAATGCATTGAACACTGGCTAGTTTTCTTTTCAGGAAAATTAAAATGGCCTATAAAGGAAAATTGGAAACTTTCATTGCAATACAAAACTTTTTGAGAATGATTTTGAATTTCCCCTACAGGGATTCTTAGGAATTGTAACTTTTAGGTGTTATTGTGAATTTGGATCTTAATTATCAATTACTATATGCTGGACAGGAAATATATTTAGGTGAGATTTTTTTAATCTTAATTATTTGCAGAAAAGATCATGCTTATCTATTTTAAATACAGGTAGGAAGGAATTTAAAAAAAAAATCACAGAATGACCTATCTTTCTGATGTTCTATTAAATTGGGAAAATTTTATCTTTGACATTTAATGGTCCAATAATTTAGAACTAATTTGTTTTATTGGCCATCAGTTAATACAGGCTATAAGTAACTAGGGAAGATATCAGGTTAATGCTTCTATCATAATTAAAGAACTGACATGCCCCCCACCAATCTTCATACGCTGTAGATCGAAAAGCAGGTACTCAGCATGTTAGCATCCCATAGACAGAACAACATGGAAAGATAATTTTAAAAATGTCCTTAGCCATCTTGCTTTTGCTACCTTGGAAAAAGCAAGAAGGATCTCAAGATTCAGAATCCTTTTCAACAGTTTTGTCACCTTCTTTTGTAAACATTTCTAGTTTTTGCCTTTTAGCCTTTAGAACCATAGCAACCAGAAATTAGAAGTCAAAGGTCATTTCTTTGTGACTAAGAATGAAACTTCCTAAGGTGTTGCTCTATTGTGTTTTTCAAAATTAGCTTCAAATAACGGACTTAGAAAAATCCACATTCTCCTTCCAAGACTAGTCTTTTAGCCAATTACTCTGTTCTCTTTTTAATGCTATAGAGCAGAACATTGTAAAGGCAAGCTCAAGTGGAAAATCCCCATTCTTGCTATGACCAGAGTTTTGCCTAGCCATTAATTATTTTCACTGAAATCACATTGTATTTTCATAGTACCAATTCTCCTTCCAATTGTCTGGAAAGGCAAATATACTAAGTACAGAGAGAAAACATTCAAGACCATTCATTTGTGAGGCTAGATTTGGAATGAAAAAATGATGATTTCCAGGTTGTTTTTTAGTTCATATGAGGACTGAACCTTGTACTCTATCCGTTCCTACTCTGCTTAATTCTCTATTACTGAACAAATATATTTCATCATAGTATCCCTGTGGATTTAGTAGTATAGTTGGGGCTTCAGAAAAGTAAGATTTGATTTGGCTTATAAAAAGAGGTTGGTCAATACTGCCTCCTTCCTTTCCCCCTCCAGACTCATAATTAGCATTATACACCCATTTGCCATTCCTGTGAAGGATTAGGAAGTCAGACCAAGGTTTATGTGATTTAAAAATCTTGGATGTGCTCTTGTATTTAAAGAGAAAAGAAATAAGAAATTGTCAGTCTCCCATATCATCTCTTCCACACCCATCTCTCTTCTCCTGTGATTTAAAAGAAAAAATAGAGTAAATATTTATCAGCCTCCTTTTGCTTACTTTTCATGGAGGAGAGATTTCATTAGAAGGAAAGCTTGCTACTTTCTTCTCATCCTTTCTCACGAGACTTCATCCTTTCTGAAAGGAGGCTACAGGTAGAACTTTGTGCGGTGTTGAGGTCATTTTGAAGCAGACAGGTGAATTTTTGTCTACTTACATTTATCCTGCAATCCTTCCTAGTGTGAAATACCATGGTTAGCAGCATTTCCCAAATGGTAGTAGGATCAATAAAGTTCAAGGATCAGTTTCTACACTCATGTTAAGACATTTTAAGGACTTTAAAAAGTAGTATGATGTTAATGAATTAGTAGATTAGACAGTTTTTATCAGCATTAAAATATATCAAGGTTGTTGGGTATTTTTTTACAAGTCATTAGTTTAAATTATTCAGATAAATATATGTTTCTGTTTTAGTATAGGACATCAATCTGCAGAACACGAGATTGCCCAGGCCAGATGTGCATTGCCTTAATACCCCCTCTTTCTGGAAAGAGATAATAATGTATTGTGTACAATAAAGGGACACTTGGCAAATGAGGGCCCATTCCCTCTTAGGTGGAGCAAAGAAGTTCATTGGTTTTGCTTTTTTATACTTGACATGATTCGGTACTTAAATATTTAAAACTATGTTTGTGCTTATTGATGTACATTAAAAAGACCCAGAAAACTAAGGGAAGTTGATCATCCATAAGATGTACAGAATGTGCTCATACTATCTCTATAACATAAGAGCACGTGAGTTTGATGCATATGTGGTTTTTTTTTATTTGGAGTGGAGGAGAACCAAACTGTTACATATATGAGAGTTGATATAGATGTTGATAGAAAGGTGGGTGTGTGTGTGTGTGTGTGTGCACACACACATACTACAAGGAATGTTGTGCCTACTTTGCCATCAGGCTCTCAGGCTGATTATCTTTGGAAACCTGAAACAGCCTGATATCAGTACCTCATGGAGGAACTTAGTCCAAGTTCTTTAGTTTCTTCTTTTCTATTTGTCCTATATTTATCTTTCTCAATAAAGTAAAAATTAAAATTATTTGATTTGATTTGCTATTGAGGCATCAAAGTTTTACCATCAGATTGACTAGTTACTAGTTTCAGTACATTCCAGTGGTTCAAATCTGATATTCCATGACTTGTACCACAGTCTGGCTCCATTCCTTATAAAGCTATTTTATCTTACTGGTGCTATGTTGAAGTTCGTTGAATCTGCTTGTACAATTGATCATGCATTTTAAGTCCTTATGTTTCTCCATCTACCCTGTTTCTTCACAGAGCTACAGGCAACCAGCTGCTTTCATCGTCACACAATACCCTCTGCCAAATACTGTGAAGGACTTCTGGAGATTAGTCTATGACTATGGCTGTACTTCTATTGTGATGTTAAATGAAGTCGACTTGTCCCAGGTCAATGGCTGTGAATTGCTTTTGTGTATTTTTAAGCAACTTAATAACATAGTAATGAAATGCTTTATATCATACTAGTTAGAAAAAAAACACCATGCTCTTTTTCTTTCAAACTATTCATCATCTAGGGCTGCCCTCAGTACTGGCCAGAAGAAGGGATGCTGCGCTATGGCCCTATCCAAGTGGAATGTATGTCTTGTTCAATGGATTGTGATGTGATAAACCGGATTTTTAGGATATGCAATCTAACAAGAGTAAGTCATTGTTTAATCATTCTGACTGAGCTGATCCAGAGTAGGTAGAGCACAACCAGGATGGGGTACAATTCTACTCACACAACATGAGTAGAATGAATAAGCATTACATAATCAGTCCCAAGTCTAGTAATCATCTTATTCCTTAGTACTAGAGCAAAAGGCATTCTAAAATCAGAAAAGCAGAATTGCTGGAAGCTAAGTTTTCTGGTATACTCCTAGCTAACATATACACCTGAAAATCTAGATTCAGATGCACTGGCCTAACTGAGTCTGATTGTCTGCCTGGCTCCTCAGCACATGTGGCTGTATCGCCTGGTTGACTGCGTGTTTGATTAGGATTGACATCTAGCTCAGAAAAGCCATGCAGTTAAAAAAAAAATAATGACATAATAATAATGAGGATGACAGAGCAGAATCTCTCCTCGGGAGGAAAGGCTATGTTGGATGAGCCATTAGAGAGGAGTTCCACGTCACCATTCCAAGTCCTGTGTATAAGAGAGAAGCCAGTATGAAGAAAAGGGTAACTCACAGACGTCATTGATTCTCCTCCCACTTACAATTGCATCTTTCCAAATGTCCCAACATTTACTCTCCCAGATCTGTAGATAAAACCAGTGCTATCACTGTGACCTTTCTAGGAGCAAAGTAGCAACTGTGTCCCTGAAGAGTCCTCCTCATGAGCTTTATGCTAAAAAGCCAATTAAAAACAAGAAACATTAATTAAAAAAACTGTTTAGATTATATAACCAAATAAGCAGAATTTGAAAAGAAAACATTAGTAACTTCACTGAAATCACTGTGTTTTTAAAAATTACTCTTTAGCAGCAGCTCTCTGTATGTCTCTTATTTTAATTGTGTGATCAGGATTGTCATAATAAAGTGCTTTTTATGTCAAAATGGCTATATATCAAAATGGTTAGTATGTCTACATGTATATAACTATAGACAGAAGATAAAACCAGACCCAATTCTATTGCTCATTTTAGAGGAGATAAAGATAACTTCAATCCCATCATAATATTCATGCATCTCTTAGATGTTAATTTCAATGAAGTCTCATTATGTCTGCACATCTGTTACATTATGGTTCTAGTAATATTTTAGCTGAGAAACCATAGCCGCTAAACTAAGAAAGTAAGACTTGTCTGTTAATTGAACTGTTTATATGAAAAATATTCTAGGAACAGGAATTGAAATGTGTTACTTTTTTTGTCAGCATATTTATTTGTTTACTTTCCTCTGTCTTGGGTGTTCTGGTCCTTATTTTGCAGGATTTTTTTTTCTGTTTTCTATCTCAATATTTACTGTCATTCACTTCATCAAATACTTAGTAAGCACCAGCAAGAAGTTAGGTGTTGTACTAGGTAGGTTCTCATCTTACCAAAAGATACTCGAGCCCTTGCCTGATGGAGCTTCAGATCTGATGCCATATGCTATGGCTTACTCATATATTCCATATTCTTTTTTATAGTTTTTATTTGAGGTCTTGATTCAACAGTACTCTGTTTTTTAAGTTATTTTGCCAAGTTTGAGTGGTACAGGGGAAGGGTAAAAAGAGAGAGAAATGTCCTTGTCTTTAAAGAATTAATATTTTATCAGGGAAGACAAACATTAAACAACTAATTAAGTAATCATTTATTTACAAATATGAGTCATTTTATAGAGTACAGAAATACAAAGTATTTGTGTTATTAGAGATTTCTTTAAGACAATGACATTTAAGCCAAAATTTGAAGAATTAGTAGGATCTATTCAGGGGTGGGATAACCAACTATCCAGGTTTAAACAGGATGGAGAGGTTTGAGGTACACATAAGTTTTAGAGCAGAGATCTGAAAAGTTCCTGGCAAACCCAAGACAACTTGATTACTATTTTAAATTGAGAAGGGCAAGCAAGAAGGAAATGTTCAGGACAAAAACGAATGTATGTTTAAATCCCAATGGTAAGAAATTACTTGATAAATGAATTAAAGGAAGGCTACCATATCTGGCACTTGACTGGTGTGTTCAAGTGAAGAGAAGGTTGAGCAAGGTAGTGGAGCCAGGTTGCATAGGATTTATAAGCCATGACAGTAATTTAAATTATATGATAAGATCATTTGGGAGCCACTAAAGCAAAGAAATGATGAAATCAAATTGGCATTGCAAAATAATCATGTTGCCTGCAGTAAGAATGATTTGGAAGGAGATCAAAGTTCATTCAGGGAGATCCAGGAGGAGGTAATTAACATAGTCTGTGATTGGTAGTGCACTGTCAGAGGTGATAAAGAAGAGATGACTTCAAAAGTTCTTTAAGAAGTATAAACATTGGAGTTGACTAGAGGCCCCAAGCACGAAATTCATGCAAGAACCCCTCCCACTGGGGCTTTGTCTGGAAGGAAGGACATCCAGTCTAATCAGCATATTACACTTTTATTATTATAGATTGTTGGATTAAAGGTGTGAGGGAGGAGCTCATATGAAGAATAATTCTCATGTTTCTTGCTTCTGTAACTTAGAATGTTTCTGCATGGGCATGTACGTATTTAGAACTTACAGACTCGATCCAGTATCAATGTCATTTATAGCATGGTGTCAATTGGTATGAACTTGCTGCTTTTTAGTACAATTTCAAGTCCCTACTTAACATAACAATATTTTTTTTCTCTCCACAGCCACAGGAAGGATATCTGATGGTGCAGCAGTTTCAGTATCTAGGGTGGGCTTCTCATCGAGAAGTGCCAGGCTCCAAGCGATCGTTTTTGAAACTGATCCTGCAGGTGGAAAAATGGCAGGAGGAATGTGAGGAAGGGGAAGGTCGGACGATCATCCACTGCCTGTGAGTACGCAGCTGGCCTGGCCAGGGAGCTCGGTGCCCATTTCCCCATAGCCTGCACATGTTCCAGGCTATAGTACCTGACTCACATCTTACATAACTCTATAGATATTTCTGTACCATATTCCATAATTAATTACTAACTTTTTAAAAACTTGATTACAGTATAGTTTTTCAGTGATTTAAACTATTTTAAATACTCCTTTATGCCACTTTCCTGATTTATACAGTTTGAGGATCTATCAAAATCTCAGGGTATCTAGGTTGGCAGTTTATGCCTATAGCATATTTCTATGCATAAACTACTGGGCTAGCATCTTCCTCAAGGATCCTTTTTCTCTGTCCTGTACACATACGTACACATATGTGAAGCAAAATTAAGACCCAAATGAAAAAATTTTTTAAAGATAATATTTTCTTTTCCAAACATATAGCTTTGTGTCATCTATAGTCACCCAAAATCTCAGACTAAAATGTCTTTGCTTTCTTTGGTTTTAGGAATGGTGGCGGGCGAAGTGGCATGTTCTGTGCTATAGGCATTGTTGTTGAAATGGTGAAACGGCAGAATGTGGTCGATGTGTTCCATGCGGTGAAGACACTAAGGAACAGCAAGCCCAACATGGTGGAAGCCCCGGTGAGTCAGAGTCCTGGAGATAGAAGGGAGCATAGACAGTAGTCCATTATTCACCTACTTGTGACTTGATTTCACACTCACACAGGGAATCAGACGTGTAAATGAGTCAGTGGGGACTTTCCTGTCTAATTGATGAATTGCTGAGCATCTGTGTCTACCCCGATAACTTAATCACATATCTCATAAACTGCTAATGATGGAGAAAACTATCTTCACTAAATTTGAAAATGTATAGGATTTTTTTTCTGTTATGAGCAATAAATATTTGCTACCATAAAGTTTGGTAAGTGATTCTATCATAAGAATAAACCTGCAATCTAGACTTTATTCTTATTACTTTATTTCTTAAAGCATATTGAGATAACTGTGATAAAATTAATCTGAGGGATATACTTGTAAGTTCCATTGGCAATTTAGTCACCCAATGTTTTTAAAGGACAACTGAAATTTATTTTAGTCATTATTTGTATAATTCTTCATTCCTGATCAAATTATACATTTTTCTAACTGTTATCATTGACAATTTTTGGCTTTTACTAGTTATAGAGTGTAGTTCCTATGGCACTACCTGAATTGATCAGAGTTCATAAAAGCAGAACCTAGTTTATAAAGTAGGAGCCGATAGGTGTGTGTATGTGGGAGTGTATCTGGGTGAAGCTGTATGAAAATAAGAAAGTTGAACTTCTCTGGCACATGTCTCTTCTAAAGAGAGATGTCTGTGGGTTGCACATATGTGCATGGTGGGAGCAGCTGTGTAGTTGATGCTCACAGAAAAGTACACCAGAAAAACCTAGGCATCACTGTTGCTTGCTCTGCATTTATCAAGATGATCAGATAACTAAAATGAGCAATTCAATAAACATTTAAGCATTTTCACCACTTCCTGCACATGGATTGTTCACACAAGAAGGGCATTGTTTCTGAGACACAATCTGAAGTTACATGCGTACTCTTTCACTTTTAAGAATGGTAACAGACTGCTCCCTTCTAAAAGTCCTCCAACCCCATTCAGTCCACTTCGTCCCTAAAATCATTGCAGTTGTCCAAAAAAAGTGATGTTGGCTTTGACTGGGGCGTTGGCATTGGGGAATGGAATTGAGGAAATCTTAAGGTAGAACTCTGAGGCCATCTTACAAAGAAGATGAGTAGTAGTTATGTCTTTAAACTACTTACAGTCTGAAGATTTCTTGATCTGCCTCTGTCTCCCAGATCAAGTCTTCTTAACATCATCACTTCTGGCCTCAGAATTCAACTTTTACCTTCAAATTTCACTTTGATTTTTTCCACTGTTACCTTAAGAAAAAAATTCTACGGTTAAACTCTGCCATTCTTAAACCTCCAAAGAGTTACTATTTACCTTTAATTTATATCCCATGAATCCTGACAGAACTCCCCACCCTCTGATTTGTGTTTCATCAGGGTTAATTATGAGTTCAATGTGCTATTGACTTGTACTGACATGTTCGGTAAGGACACTTAGAGTGTAAGACAAATTGTTAGAGACTGACTGAAAAGACACAACTGCTTCAAGCACTTTTTGGCTCTTTGGTAGGCTAATTTAAATCACCTCTGCTTGATAATTAGGCTAGGATTGATAAAGACCTCTTGGGGAAGGTTTTTATTACCCTAGTTTATTGCTGGAGACACCTGGAAGTTTGCTAGAAATAATATGTTTTACATTATTGTCCAATTCAGCCTGAATTCTACCTACTGGGATTGAATTGGAAAGTTTTTAATGAGTTACATATTGTAAGTCATAATTTGTAATACAGTCTTTGAATTTTTCAAATTATAAATAATGAAGCCTCATAGATGGACCAAGGCAGTTTAAACTCTAAAAGTTTTATTGCTAACAAAATTATCTGAAATATATAAAGGCAGTAGACATACATTTTCAGATATAAATAAGCTCAAAAAATTTTTAGAACTACTAACTTTTTAAAAATTTACATGAATACTCTGATGAACCAAAAACTGACAAAAAAATAAGAATTTAGAATTGTAAAGTGACAGTTGGAAATTACTGGCTTTTTTTTTCTGCTAGGGAAAAATATCTTAAGTGTGGAAAACAATATTTTCATATATTCACTGTAGCATTATTTATAATAGAAGAAATAAATAAATGCAATTTAATAAATATTCCACCTGTTAGATTTTTATGTAGTATTGACATGGGGAAAGTTAAAAAGGGCAGTACTATATAAAATTATGTCCTCGCCAAGCCAGCATGGCTCAGTGGTTGAACATTGACCTATGAACCAAGAGTTAATGGTTCCAGTCCCCGTGCGGGTACATGCCCAGGTTGCATGCTTGATACCCAGTGGGGAACATGCAGGCAGCCAATCGGTGATTCTCTCTCATTGATCTTTCTTTCTCTATTTCCCTCACCCTTCCTCTCTGAAATCAATAACATATATGTATGTATATATTAATTATATCCTCAAATATATATATGCAACTGTATTTATTCTAAAGTAATTATTATTTCAATCATGCATAAAAAAGACTAAAGCAAAACTAAGGCAGTGCTGTAACAATTTTATGTACTGGTGATGGAATTATAGAAAATATTTCTATGATTCTTTATATTTTTCTATATTAGAAAATTTTCTATCATGATCAGGTATTACTATCATAATCAGCTTTTAAAAAATTGGAAGTTTTTTTTTTAATTTAATAGAAAAATATATGGCAAAGACAACATATCTTTTAAATTGTCTTTTTTTCTTAAACAGCAATAGACTCAAATGCAAAATATGTATTCCCAGATATTCAACTTGTCTATGGAGAAAATAATTTCTAGTTCTTGAATACTCTAAATTGTGTACTGAGTTTTGTGTGGTAACTATTATTCACTGCTAGTCTTTTTTCTTGTCTTTCAGGAGCAGTACCGTTTCTGCTATGATGTGGCTTTGGAGTACCTGGAATCCTCTTAGTTTGGTGAGACTTCCGCATCCAAACAGAAGCCTGTCCATCCGTTCAGCCAGCAGCTGCTGTACTGTCACACCTGCGCAGAAAGATTTTAACGTGGGGGGTGGGAGACTTTTACATTGAAGAGGTGAAAGTATTTTTCTTATGAAGTCATGTATCTTAATAAAACGGACTCAATTAATTTCTATTACTGTATGAAAGCTTCAGCATTTCGTGCCACATAAACTATATTTAATAAGAACCAAACACAACTGAGAACGTATCGGTGTTTGTACAGTGAACATGCGCCTTCTCTCTCCTGGTCTGGGTAGAGCAGCCACCATGTGTTGCATGAATTAATACCGTCCACGTGGTGTTTCCCTCCCTTTTTTAGATAAAAGATGTTAACTCTTTCAAGAAACAAGAAAGAAAAGCTGTGCAAATTCATAGTAAAATTCATTTTTATATGTTTCATGTGTAGCAGATCTCTATATAAATATATAAATATATATAACTGGCTTATTTTCTTTTAATGTGCAATGATGGCTGGATCATTTAAAGTTCTTTTTAGGGAAGAAAAAAAAAAAAAACATAAGCCAAAGACTCAAGTGTAAATATGTCTATAACGGAGAAAGCACATTATATTTATTGGTTACTGACATTCCTTTTTTGATGGCTAAAATACTACCACCACACAATCATTTTTTTTTTTCACCGTGAAGCTTTTTCTTTCACTGAAATCGATGGTAAACGATTTTTTGTAGATTATTTTTTGTATGGTTTAGCCTAGGTAGAGGATACACTTTTTATTTATCAACCAGGAAGCGATGTTCTTTATAGTGATTCTCTTGTGTACTTGCTTGTGAATTAAACTTATGTGAAACACCTTGGCCATTGGGTCTTTGACTATAGGACCAGATGAAAATGTTTTGCTGAAAATGTATAACTTTTCACAATTTCATTAGGTGAATAAGGAATGGTTTGGTGATCACACATGAGTGCTGAACACATTCAGAAGCCTTGCTGGTACCGTGTGCGGTGTAAACTGTGTAAAAGCCTTTAAGCATCACTTACATTTTAAAGGAATTGATCTTTTCCGCCTGTGGCCACGCACTGGTCAAGAAAACAAACAAACAAAAAATAACAGCCTTTATGCTTTCAGCATCACTTTAGCAAACTGTAAACTGTCAAGGTGATAAAATGTTTCTTTTGTTGTTTACATGCACAAGCTTTGGGCTCTGACCACAGAGAGTGTGAACAGATTGAGGCTGGGTTCCCCGTCCTATGCACTGTCACGGGATTCTCCAGGCAGCCTTTTGAACTGTGGTGTTGCTCACATGCTCCATGTGGCTGTAACGAATCGTCATCAGCGTGCGGTTCATTATTGAGTAAAAGCATTCCGGTATCTTCGTTCTAGATTTGCCAGTACGTGACTTGGTGCTTATAAAGATTTAATGAAAGGAAGAGTGAAATAAAGTTTTTATAATTACATCAGGTATTGTTTGCACATCATTTTCCCCTAATCTTCATGTCTGCACTTCCAATTAAATACCCTATTCTCAGAGATACAAGTAGACTGCCAAAATTCTATTAGAAGCAACACCATGTCTATGCACTAATTTCTTCCTTTTAGTTTTTCAAAATGAATTTCAAAAAGTCCATAGGAGTGGAGGAAAAAAAGGCCAGGGGATTGACATCAGTTGTGTTTTGAGTTTCTATATTTGTATGTCACTATCCTTTTATATTTTATATATATACTAGAGGCCTGGTGCACAAAATTCATGCGGGTGGGGGGGTCAGCCTGCCCTGCACCCTCTCACAATCCTGGACCCCTCAGGGGATGTCCGACTGCCAGTGTAGGCTCAAGCCCACAGGTCAGACATCCCTCTTACAATCTGGGACTGCTGGCTCCTAACTGCTCACCTGCCTGCCTCATTGCCCCTAACCACTCTGCCTGTCTGCCTGATCACACCTAACCCCTCTGCCTGCCTGCCTGATCACCCCTAACCACTTGCCTGCCTGATTGCCCCTAACTGCTCACCTGCCTGCCTGATCAGCCCTAACCACTCTACTGGCCTTCCTGGTCATGCCTGACCACTCACCTGCTTGCCTACCTGATCCCCCTAACTGCTCACCTTTCTGCCTGATCGCCCCTAACCACTCTGCCTTGGCCCCCACTGCCACAGCTCCGTCCTGAAGAACATTGGGAGGTCATTGGACTGTCCAGTTTAATTAGCATATTAGGCTTTTATTATTATAGATATATATACTTATTTTTTTCTTATAACAAACTTGACAAATAGTAGTTATCACCCCTATTTTACTAATGAAATTGAAGCTGAGAATGTTAACGATTTTCAACTGATTCAACTCTGGGTCTGATTTAGCAAGTTCTCTTGCTAAACTCACTGCTTCTCTGTTGCACAATGAAAAGTTGGCATTTTATTCTTGTTGTTCCTCATTAATTGATTTTCTCATAAAAATATTAACCATTATGGGCATCTTTGGACTCCATTCATTGTATATATTATTATAACACTAGAGACCTGGTGCATGAAATTTGTGCCAGGAGGGAGTCTCTCAGCTTGGCCTGCACCCTCTCCAATCCGGGACCCCTCAGGGGATGTCCGACTGCCGATTTAGGCCCCATCCCTGTGGGACATCCCTCTCGCAAAATGAGACTGCTCGCTCCTAATCCTTGCCTACCTACCGGCTTGATCGCCTAACCACTTCCCTGCTGGCTTCATGGCCCCCAACTGCCCTCTCCTGCTGACCTAGTCGTCCAGAAGGAAGTCAAACAGTAGGAAGATGTCTGGTCTCCTGGTCTAATTAGCATATTCCCCTTTTATTAGTATACATTTGTGACTTTTATTGGTGAGAATTTAGATACTTTGTCTTTTCCTAGGAATACTAAGTTCTATTTAAACATGGATGCATTTAACTAAAAATTTGTAAACTTATTCAAGGTCTTTTTTACCCAGTGATATTAATCCTATGGAGAATTCTGTTTTGCTTTATGATCCAATTTTATTTCTACTTACATGATTGCATCCACACATCGCCAAAATCACCATAAATACTACAGTTCACAAAGCTCACAGGTTCGGGTGGCTTTCAAAATTCAGGTAAAGAACCAAAGGTGTCCTCTTTATCTTTAACCAAAAATGAAAAAGTCATGCTTGCTCTGGGCATCATAGAGACCAGTTCATCAGGAGACAAGGGAAGGGGAAGGATGCTAAATCTGTTTTCTCAAAACTCATCCTCCAAAAGTTGTACTTTATACCTGTGAGGAGCTCTCTGAGTAGTCCCAGGTTTGGCCATCTCCCACTGGGCAGGGATTATTCTGTCATAACTTTTAAATGTGGCTATGCTTTTCATAGTTAAAGGCCTCCTGTCTCACTTATTCCTTAAATGTTTATCATAAAGTTGAATTTTACAGATCTCTTTGTATATGTTATCACCACAGTAATGTTGGAATGGCATCAGCAGAAACACACAAACAACTTGGAATTTTGAGTTTTAACCAAATACACTTGAAAGTGTTAGGCTTCTAGTCTGAGCTGCCTACCCTTTCTAATATGTAGTCTTTGGAGACAATAAAGCCTTTTGCATGAATGTATTGCTGTGTTACAGCCAAATGATCTCTGACATTGAAAGATAAACAAGATATTTTTGCATGGACAAAGAGGGAGAGTAGACATGCTTACCTGTATATGGATGTGCGAATATGCTCATTCAATGTTAACCTGATTGGGAATCTCTTGAGTTGCAGGTACTTATGTATCAAACTTGGAAGTCAGACATCAACAGCTTCTTCTCAAATATCTGTTGCCTGAAAATGGTGTGGATATAGAGAGAGGTTCCTGGCAACTAAAAAACTTATTAGACGCCAATAAATATTAAAATACAGGAGATAAATCACTGTCCTTAGCTCTACGGGAAATATGAGATAGTCTGCTAGCTTTGGAAGATCGCCTTTGGGATTCACTTAAGTTTTATAGGAGAGTGACAATGGGACATTTATATTTAATTTTGATGCACTTTGGTGGGCATTCGTTTTTAATACCAAAGTAGCCAGAAATTATTCTATCCCATACCCCAGTGTAATATGTTGAATATTCATGCTACAAATTGTTTCCATAGGCAGTAATTCCATTACCTTTCTAGATTCATTTCAGTTTCTTAAACACATATTAAATATGGGCAATATGCTATTTTATTAAATACTATGTTAAATGAAAACAGAAGAAAGCTGTCTGTGCCTCCTGTAACAATTTCTACTTACATTATTATTTCACAAAGTCTCTCCATGTGATAGGGAGGCTTGATGTGAGAGAGAGATGATGCAAGTGTGTTTACAACTCTAGTCTGTTCAGGCAGCCAGCAGAGTATTCAAATATTACCACTCTGAAACTAAAAGAAAAAGCTCTGTCTTGGGATCTACTTTAAGTAAACTATAAGTGGTTTCTGGAATATAAATTGTCCAGAAATGGAAGGAAATGTAATAGAGATATAACATTTCTGAACTTCCAGCTTCCTCCAAAGAAAACTGAAGTGCTAACCTAGAATATAAAACCGAAGAGACAATGTTATCAAGACCTGGGCATTCCTGCCATTTTGCCTGGTCTGAGATGAAATTTAAAAAGTGGAGAAAACAAGATCATAATGGCCTTCACTGAGGTTGAAAAAGAAAAGTAGGTACTGTGAGGAAGGACAGAGAACAGGTATATTTCAGACTGGTCATTCAGGTTGTATTACAATAGGCATCTTTAGCTTGTGCATTTTCAATAGGAATACTTTTCATTGCTACAAAAATATGTCTCCCATTCTTAATAAAACATTCCTTGCATTTTCCTACTTTGGATTGGAAAATAGATACTAGATATTCTACCATCTTCAGCTTTACTCTAAGAAACAATAGCATGAGGCTGAGGACAAATGGCAACCATTGTTTGACAAGAAAGAGCATGTGGGAAAGCCAACTCCCACTTGGACTTGAAAGCATATGTGATGCCCAAAGAGAATG